CAATAAACCTAGAATGGCTAAATGCCAGTACCAGGGACCCAAACTATCAGACCCAATGGGAACGAACCAAGCAACCCTATTTATCATAGGTACAGATAAGGTTGCTGTTTTAAAAGAAAGCTGATTAAAACTAACACATGCTCTTAATGCTAAATTAAAGACAAAATGCGCAAGAGATATAAAGATTATCAAATGGAGAAAATGCAGCAGATATACAGAGTGTCACTTCAATGAAAAGGCAAGTATAAATAGGCCAAACGATACTAACAACAACCACATTAAAATACTATTCTGCAGTAAGAGCCTGATCTACATAAAGATCACGAAAACATACTCAAACTCTACTCTATTTGAATAAGATTTCATTAACCACACTGTTACTAACTAGATATCCAAAAGAAGAAACTATTTGCATACCTGCTGAAGGAGTTGAAGGGACACAGCTTTTCCTATAGCCCTCATTTCCATAACTGTTAACACTACTACCACCCTCCACATTTGAATATTTTCTAGCAGTCGCGGGAGTAGCATTCTCATTCGACTGACCAGCTGTAGAAGAGATGTTGGGAGCATGAAAAGGTCGTCGGAAGGATGCAGCAGTTGATGTTGAAGCCGAAGTGAGTTGCTGCTGCAGTTGACGAGGGTTAGACTGTCGACCATTCACTGTGGAATTTCCATTTGATGTGGAGGCTTCTGTAGAGAAGCTTCGTGGCTGAATAGCTCCGGAGAGGGTCTGTGCAATTACATTCGAGCTAAACTACAGCTCAATTTCGTTCCTAAGCGTTCAGTAGTATAGAATACCACATGCTTTTAACCCAGTTAAATAGGCCTTGCCAAATCCGTTTGTCTAACCACTGAAAGAGTGACAAAAATGGTTCCAAAAATGCAAGCAAGACTGCACTTTCTTTTTCCAGGATCATATATGGTTTCATATGGACCTCAGTTTTCCTGAACTTACACTGTGATTCTTTAATCTTAACTTGATGGTCTCATATGCCTAGTAGGCTGTGTTATACGCATTAGGTCTATCACAACTAGTACTCTTATTAACAGCCCCTTGCCAGGTACTTGATAATCATGTTACATCAAATGTTATTAGGTTGTAAATATCACCCAGCTCATTTAAGTAAAATTTGAGGACTTTAGTTGTGAGTTACATATCCCCCTCTTACACTCCACTTAATTACAATAGTCTGACAATGTAGATAGACATGACCCAACGTCACACTGGAAGGTGAGAAAAGAATAAATTTGTGATTCTTAATAGGTTATATATAGAATGACGCTTCGTGTTGGTGGCTGAAGCAAGGTGAGCTAATGCTAACAACACCGTACTCAGCCATCCTCTACTGCCAGATTAATTTTAATTGGTTTTCGGAAGACGTGATTAGTGAAAGACAACTAAGTGCATACTTTTGCCTTTGAAAACTGACATTAAGTCTAATTGTCAACCAATTATCTTCAAAGAGAAGCTCAAACCTTTTAGAAGGCTTTCAATTACTTCCAGTTTCAAGGCATTCTGGTCATAGGCGTCAATTTCCATTTGGATTTTTAGGAATACTCAATATTCGATTCAAGACTAGGAACTTCAGCTTTCCTTGTCTATAAATTTCAATGGAAATTATTCATAGTCGTCCTTCGGAAGCATATTTTTACTTCATTGATCTTATAATTTTAATGAGGTACTTTAGAGATTGAGTTCCCCTCGTGAAGTACTAATGCGGATTGATATAAATGAGAATTTCATTGTTACGTTTCACTGCATTACTAATAGAGCATAGGTAAGAAGTGAAAAGTAAAAAAAATTGTAAAAGCTTTCAATTATAATTTGATTATTGTTTAAATATCATAGCAGAGTATTCTGTTGATGTTCAAAACATTATTAAACAATTATTTGAGGCAATATTAATTTATTTTTTTCCAACATGGTCCTATCGTTAGCCTCATTGATATTCAACAAATGTCGTGGGCATATGAGCGAATTTGTCATGTCAGTGAATTGACGTTGATTAGTTCTGACAGGTTCATGAGACTGCAAAGTCTAATTGGCGACCTCATTTCTTAAATGAACCAAAAAATGGACCACACACATGCTTGTATTTGGTTTAACGAATACCCTATCAAATCCTCTAATGATCGAATCCTGTCATTGTGTTAAAGATTTTGAAACGATAGAAAAAAAAGATAAGGAGTTGATATTCAGTAGTTGGAGGGATCACATGCGCTGGCCAAATTTTGACATACAACAGTAATTCAAAAGTGGACTTTACTGTTATCTACGACAATGCAACGGAATACAAATTTTCGTGGTAAAAGAAGCCTCAGATCACGAAGAACAGCTAAGAAATTTTGTTAAGATTGAAACTCGGAATTGAGTAGAAGTTTATGTTGCAGTCAGGATAACTATACCTTAACCAGAGATCCATGATGCACTCTACCGATTTTACAAAATAAAAATTTTATGATTTTATCTTTGACATCATTGTTGCAGTTAGAGGTTATTTATTAGTTTATTAATTTGTTATTTTCTTGTACATTCTAACAGATAAAATCATGAGGATGAAAAGAGCAAAGTGGGGATTGAAATTTAATGCTTATTAATTAGAGGTATTGATCTTCTGGTCAAGATAATGGTTGAACGCTTTCATGCCTTATGTATTTTAGCGTATAAAAGTATTTTTGGTGAATAAACGACTACATCAACAGTGCTCCAATGCACATCACATACAATTACGTTCGTCCGTTTTGGCCTCTCAACGTTTAAAAGGAGCAATACAGACTAAACATGTAAATTTGTCACCAAATTCTGATACTGAAATAAACATTTTCGGAATTTTAAACAACGATTGATATGATTCTAATTCAGCTCTTCTTCTCCTTTTATTTAGTTTTTTAATGCTATAACCAATAAACTTCGGAAATCAAGTTCGAGACAGAAACAGCTCACTTACTTTCAGTGAAAATTAAGCACACGTGTTTCTTTAGTGTTCTGAAAATGACTGCCTTGTCTTAAACAGGCTGCTTTAACAGTAACTTCACACAGGACTCGCTAGTATTTTAGATGTTCAGATTATTACATCCGTAAATGCTCCGATTGCGTTGTTGGCATCTAAAATTGTTTATGAAGGTATCAAAATGTATTTTGTAAGTGGTTTGTAACCATTTCTTCGACACATTAACAGGGCTTTATGCAACTTTATTAGAGTAGATTAAATTTATTGTGTAAATCCTCCAATTCAGTTGAAGGTATCTTTACAGGACCATTGATTGATTGGGAGTGAAGATTTCCTATCTCAAAAATTTACGGATCTTAATTTCCCATTGTTGACGGTTCATTGGCTCCTATTTAAAACAATTATTTCTCACCAAAGCTGGAACTAATAATAAATATTTCCTTGCTAACTGTAAATATTCCGTTTAATTGTGGACGAAGATCTCTTATGGGATTTTTTAACTTTGATTGGACAGTAATTGTATATTTCCACTTTGGCCAATAACTAGAAAATACTAAACGAGAGGATTTACGCAAAAGGTAAGTCTGACCGGGATATTCTTTGTTCTAAGGAATCCATTGCTGTACAAATAGCCAAGGACCTTAATACAGAATCGCAGATGGCATCTTAAGCACAACGATCAACATAACTTTTATATTTTGCCAAAATACCATCCACTTCAAATCGATGTTTCTCCAAATTCAACAACTGCTCATATGAAGGGAGCTCTGCCAAAACTACAGATTTCCCCAGCATATTGAGTGTCTACTTATGGTAGTAATTAGGAATGATTTGTAAAGTAGGGCACATTGAACACTGAAACAAATATTCAGGACTCAAATGCAATAAGCTAATTTCTTTTTGGTAAGGTGGGCCTCAGGAGCATATTGACCGACTGTGGTGCTTTTGGAATTGAAATCTGAAAATGATATAAGACAGGAAGAACATAAATAGAAGGATATATTGTGTAAAACCTAAATAAGGCGTTGTAGTGGATTGCCTCACTAATAAGCCTTGACTTGTGCTCAGTAAGCTCCATGAAGAGAACTAACTTGGAATGGCTGCAGGAATTAGATAGTCAAACTCAACGACACAGGGAAAACAGACGTATGACATGGAATATGTTACTTGGGCTGGATATGTATGTGTTTAGGCGAGTTTTTAATAATATGGAACTTAAGGATTCAATACTGTTTGGGTTAGATAACGCCATAATGACATTTGATAATTGATTGTCAGAAGAGTCTCTGCATTCGTGACCTCACTTGCTCCCTAACGTGATTAGCATCACGGTGCATATTCCAGAATACTCGAGCGCGAAAGGGATTCTTTGCTTCAGTCGTGCTAGCGTTGTGTCCTTCACAGCGCTAACTGGAAGTACAGACATTCACCGATATATAAGCGAATGAGAATAGCAGGCGAGTAAAAGAGGCACAGAAGTTAATACGTTGCACATATGCCGAGACGAAATTGAATTTATGACTTGACCGTTTATATATATAGCTATTTTCCGGCGTATTCCATTACTATTGGCTTATTTACTTTCTTGCAGTGCGTGGTTGGGTGCTCTAATTGGCACAGTTCTCCTATTGGTCAGTGCTCCCGCAAGATTAGCCTAGTTTCGGTTAACATCGCAGCCTGCGTCAGCGAATCAATTTGACGATTCATCAACTATGAAGGTTTTTAGCCTGTTCATACGCATTTTCCTTCAATAAAAACTTATGGCTCTTTGTATTTGAATTATATCTATCACTGATCAATATTCTTAGGATGCGAAAGCGCCTAAAGTTGCGTGAATACTTGGATTTGAATCGTAACCGAAGTTGTGAAATACTATCAAAAATTTGCGAAAATCGTGTAGAAATCCCCCGAGCTACTTATTTTACCATAATTGGTAGTCACGATAAAGCTAACATTGAACCGATTTGTCAAGTGATTTCCCGTTATAATGCTCTCAACTATTTAACAAATTACTTAAATTCTAAAAGTAGGTAACTTTTTGTAATATTTCTTTTCATTTTTTGTTCGACTTTGTCAATTTTTTATTCTTTTAGACTTCTATCGGCGCGTATTTGATTTCGAACTCATCACTGATTATTTTTGCCGGGGTCTTATTTCTTCTGTGTTAATCAACTCGAATGAACCCTCTGATTCACTTTTAGCCGTTGATCTTATGCATATAATATGTCGCAACATTTACCACACGCTCAATAAAATCGGGCAAAATGAGTAAGCAATCATAATTAAATCCGCAGTGTTTTGAGAATTTTTGAAGGTCATTGTTCAAAAAATGGCTTTATTATCCTAGCCAGAAGGTGAGCTTCCTTTAAAATGTAGTGTATTGCATTGTTGCTCCTTTGAATCTCCTGTTGTAAGCATTTGATATAATTCTTTGTTCGTCTTAATATTGTATAGATTTTGCAGTTTTTAGCTTCTATTCACTTCCTAATGGCCTCACCAGAGTATTATTTTCCACTCTAACGACACTAACTGAATGCTAGTTTTGATATCTTTTGAAATTTGCACTTTATTCCAATCTAATAGACGCGACCTACCACGTGAACCTTTCTCTACTAATTTCGAATTTCCGAAAAACCCTTGTTATTAGTTGATGGGGAAATAATTTCCCCAGTAAAGCCTCCAGACGTTATTTTTTCGCCAAAGTGTCCAGTTATTTTGCAGCACAGCGAAGTTTGGAATAATTTTAGAAATACATGGGAAATTTTCCAGGAACTGTCACTTTAAACAAAAATGATTTAGAGTTGTTGTGCATTTAATGTACTCGCCAAAGAATTTATGAAGTCGTCCATAGATTATTACGATAATTAAAGATTTACTTTGTTCTTCCTTTCCTTCAGGTCAGTAATATTCGCCTTTGAGAATGTTATCAAAGAGGCAGCGTTTCCCTTCCTAACAATTATATCTACACCAGATCTTGACGCACTAACTTGTTCTGTATCTTGGGCTCTTGTAAATCTGTTGAAATCGACAAATATCGTGGTCCGATTCAGTAGTACCCCTCCCTCCATCAAATGGATTCATCAACTAATGCTTGCGGAACACGTTGTTGAAGCTTTGGATATTCAACTACGACCGTTGATTCGACTCAACCATCTCTTAATTCGAGATGCCGAAAAATTCACTTTGAAATGCCTTGATGAGCTTGATTTTGAAGCGCTTTTTCCCTTATTTGTGGTACTTGCTAATCTGCCGCCTAGTTATAACTTCGAAAGAAGCTACTACCGCCGACTTCAAAAGCATTTTGTTCAAATATCCCAATTTATGAACAACCTTATCACACATACCTCGACAAAATGTCCTCTGTTTATTGGAACTGTTGCTGTCTCTGTGTTACCAGTCTTTCATGAATATATGCGCTCTTTGAAGAATATTCCAAGTATCGTAGCACTTGATGTTCTGTCTAATCTTTGTCTATTTCTAATGGCTTTGGATAACATTCAATTTCCGCCTCATGAAAGCATGGCAGTTATCGCATGTTTTGCCTCATCTGTTGGGGTTTTGGCCTCCCAAGCAAATTCTCATATTTCTAAACAATCAGTGAAATTTCAGTCAGTGTGCTTAAACGCAGCCATTTGTGGAGTTATCGCTCTTCGGAAACGATTAGATTGGTCTACCTTTGGTGGCAGCATTCTATTAGATCTTCGAATGCTTATCACACAATTGAATTGTGAATTGTCACGAGATATTATGGAATCAATTCTAGAGTGTATCATCTCAGCCTATGGGGAGTCGTCGATTGCAGCTTGTGAACTGATTGGCGCATTGCCTTGGAAATCTAGCTTGCATGATTTACTATTGACAGTGGTGAGGTGGATGGAAGGAATTGTGAGATTGTATATTCTACCCGAAGGTGTTGGATTTGTGCATCTTACAGGCTTTCAACTACGATTGGCTGGGGTGATTTTGTCAACGTGTCATTCACTTGGACGAGACAATAAAGAAGTTGCACAATTTTGTAAAGAAAGGTTTAATTACTTGTACTCATTGCACTCTAAAAGTTTGCAAGGCAAATAGTTGTCTATCTTGTTGATGGCTTTTGTAATTTAAGCTTCAAATATAGTAGTTGTTTTGCTAACAGTTTGGTATTCTCCATTCAAATAAAACTTACAATTCACTTGCCAATCGGAACCATGTTGGTACTCATGGAGAGACATTGCAACAGATAGAATTTCGTGATCTCAATGCCGCCTATGTCCATGGAATTTATTTAAAACCAAATTTTGTGGGAATTTGAAAGTCAGTCCCAGGATCGCTTAACTGTGAGCCCAGGTGTGTTAATAATAAGAAAAGTGGGTTGAAGATGTCAGTTTAATGGATGATACCTTTGATGGTCGTGTTGGAGAATCTTTTATTAATCCCACCCGGTTTTATAACGGTTTAAATGCTTCAAGTTATTCCAGCCGCTCAGCTATTTTTTTTCTGTTTTCAAGTGGATGGGATAATAAGTTTTTCAGGAACCAACTTATTACTGTTCAGATAAGAAGGAACTCTCATTCATTGATTAAAAGTGTGATTTGGTATCGTTCTTTGTGAACAGTGTTAATTAGTAAGGCTCTGTGTTTTAACACATTAATCACTTCCAATAATTCAGACTTATTTTGTTTTCTTCTGTTCCCTAAACGGACTGTCATAGCTAAGGTAGTAAGTGGCTACTTAAGGAAGATGACTGTGTGTAGGGCATGAATTCACTAATCAAACTAAGTTATTGGGAGCATTGCTAAGTAAAAAGCTCATTCATACTTAAAAAAGGAAGTTTTAGTATTTGTGTATTCTAAAATTGTTTGGTAAAGTAATTTTAGATTTGGAAAATCTATATCAACTTATAAGTTATGCTTGCTCAATAAGCAACAAAAATTATATCCTAACCTGACAATACCATTAAGCCAAATAATTAACTTTTGAGCAAAAATTCACCTATCGTAAATTGAATTTTCTTAATAGGAATATTGTCTGATAGATATATTCTTCAACCAGTGCGAGACGGTGTAAATGACCATGAATTAAAAGGTCAAATCAAATGAATATCACAAAATTAGCCTGTTGCTTGTTAGGATCGTTTCGTACATGTGCGTGGTCTTAGAGATAGGACCTTATTTATCTTTATTGCACTTCGACAATAATCGTTGATTAATCTTATAGTTAAGTGAGCAGTTTATTCTATATCTAACGTCATTTTAGCAAACAGTAGCTGAAGTCGTAGATTGAAATCTAATGCTGTCTTGTGTGTTTATTTAACATATATTTAATTGGCATTGCATTTATTGTGTTATATTAAACTTGGCTTGTTTATTATTATATTTCAGAAACATGACTGCGTATGCACAGACGTCTACTTTTATGAAGCTCTTTTCCAAAGGATGCTTAGGTGATTTTTATCAATTTATGTATTTAACCGAATTGTACAGCTATTCCAAAGAGGTTCAGCCGTCATCGAGTTATGCCACCAGAATTTACCAAAAAGTATTTTCCACAAGTAACCCAGGAAGAATTGGACACCTACCGGAGTAAAAGACATTTGGATCCCAATGCCAAACTTCCCGTTTCTCCAGTTAAAGAAGCACCTCGAAATATGAAGTAAGTTCATCTTTTGCTCGTTAGGTTAGTGCGTATATAACTGCTTTATTTCAAATACTATCATTTATTTTAAATAAATTATTGTTTCAGCTGTTTGTCAATGTATGATACCTTTGATCTCTCTCGTTGCTCTCTTTTTGTGCATTTGAAATTAAAATAGTGCACGATATATCTTAGGACACTATTCATGGTGTCTCTAACCGGTTTAGCTTCTTTCGATTTTACATATAAATAGCTGTTATGTGTAAAAACTGCTTTCCAAATCCCCTATCCATTCTTATGCCTTACATAAAACTTCTAATTTGAATGTGTAAATTATGTAGTTCAAAAATATGCTTTCAACTCTTCCCATTTATTGGTTACCAGCTATAATATTCCAGATATTTCCGATCGTGTCCCACAAAGAACATCATTGCTCTGTTGTTATGGTGGTTACGTTAATGCCAAATTTTGTAGACATGTCTAAGAATGTGAAACTATGATGAATCAGCTTGTAATTGACAATACTTATCTAGCTTTTACGGTCTTTGTCACAAAATAATTTGGAAGAATTCAAATAACCGGAACTGTGTTTAAACGAAACAGTTATTAACAGAGATTATGGAACAGGTGGATAATAATTGTGATCTTAAATGCTGGGAAATTGGAATGGTTGTTTATTACTTGACGCGTTTGCTGTAAAATCGCACTTCTACAAGCCACTTTGAATCAGTGCAAGTGGTCAGTCCAATGACTAGCTTTTTTCTCCGTTCAGGCTTCTCTATCAAGAGCTACTTCCGCATAATTTGGATCCTCGTTATCGCGACAGACTTCGTGAACGCCTTGAACGTCGTGAAATGATGCTTAGAAGACGTCAAATCCACATTCCAGAATTTTATGTTGGTAAGCCTTACCACAATTACATTTTTCCTAAATAATTGTAATAAATCCTGCGAATTAAGTAAATAGATGTGCTCCTAGTGTTCTTACTTTCTCATACTCGAAGGATTTTAGTTTCATAAGCGAAAAGGCTGCCATTAAAATGATTCCCAATTTATTTTATCCGGAATAAAATAAATGCCTTTAATCTTTAATTGAATGAATTTAATTTAATTATTCTTTGTAATTAAAGAAACTTGCCATTAGAAGCATGTGATGTCTTCATTTTAAGCATTTATTGAGTACATTCAATTTTAGCTAAATCTGTCTTATATTTTGTCCTGTGTTTTTTATCGATTTAAAATTTTATGTTTCCTAGGACCAGCCATTCTTTGACTGGTCAGTGTAAACCTACATGATCACCTCTATTGTTCGATGGTGAATTGCCGGATCACATAATTTGCTTGACGGCATTAGCTCGTGTGCTGTCCTTTTTACCATAGATTGAGCAGGTGCCAAATTTACCTCTTAGAGGTAAATATAAAATTAACTTACTAAAATTTCGAAAACTTAAACCGAATTTTATTCAATCTGATCTCTTGATCTTATTGTTCTTCACATGTGATTGTATTTCAGTATGCTTTATGTCTATGTAATATTTAATAACCGTGCAAATTTGTTTAGACAGTAGTCAGTGTCTTTAGGGATCTACTGCCTTTTGAAATTAACCAATTTGCACAAGATAGTTGAGTTTTTAACAAGTTTTATGGACTTTCAATTGAGGGGATAACGAGCCCTTATTGTATTCGCTGTGGACTAACTCCTCTTCTCCATGAACCATTTTTACTTCGTCTCATTTTCTCTTTCTGCTGTTGGGTTTTGGCTAGTTCTAAAGCAGTCTCATGCCAATAGTCCACGCTAATCGCGGTCATGAGAGTGTACAAACTGCACCATTCCAGTGATTTCTTCAGGCAAACGTTTTCCATATGTTTGCCTTCCTTATCATATATTTTGACACTTGTCAGTCCACACGCTCTGGGTTTGTAATTTATATCAACATCATCTCCCATTATTATATCCGGTGAGTATGTCTTTTTTGTCGGCTTCGTCTTTTCAAACTCCCAGTCATCTGGCTTCAAATTAGCTCGCAATGCTTCAGCTCTCTTTTGGTCACGTTGGCCATTCTCTCTAGCAAGTCGGAGATTGGCAAAAATCTTTGCGTAGTGCTCTTGTCGTTCCCTGGCTCGCATGTATTGTGTCGCATTGAAAAAGTCCGCTAGATTCAATGGAGATTGGTTCTCGGCTTCGTACTTTTCCATTTCGCTTCCATAGTCCTCTAGGTCGTGCATATTGGCTTTCAGAAATACTTCAATATCTTCATATTTAATTCCATGTTCCATTATTGCAACCTCATGTCTTTCTGAAATTCGGACCAAGGTGGAACTGAAGATATCTGCTAGAAATGAAAAGGCTTCCTCTTCTATTTCTTCTGATTTCTTTAGGGTATTCCCTTTTAGCTGATAGGCAATCTCTTCTTGCACCCAAATGTGCAATCGCCTCACAATAAGCGATAACAGAGAAATTCTTCGAGAAGGCATTCGTTTGACAATATTATTTAACTCCTCCGTAGCAAACCACCGTTTATCGCCTTGATGAATGTCCATCGTGTGATGAAAGATGACACTCATTTTGCAAAAGTTATGTGTTGGTTCAAACAGAGCCGGAAAGTTTTTCTCAATATAGCACCTTAGCACTTCGAAGATGACACCTGTACTGTAGTCTGACAGGCTCTGTATAGCAAAAGATAGTCCCACTGCTGAATTGCGCTTAAGATTCTCAGAAATTGCATTAATTTCTTCTGAATTTTTGTCTCGTCTACCGATGCAGAGTTTTGATAGGGACGGAATGCGCTTTTCAAGCAAATCAAGTATAATTCCAACGACCGCAGGAAATGTCTTGTGAGGAGTGATTGGAGTTATGTCATTTGAGCTCTCTAAGTCACTGGCGGAGGAATGAAGTCGAATCAAAGAGGTATCGCTTCTTCCAGAATCGTGAGAGTAGCTAAATTGGAATACCGTTTTCATTCCCTTTTCTCTTGACATTGTTAACACTTCGCTCTCGGGATTAGACACGCCGTCACATGTGCTATTGGCAGATGATGGTGACCCACGTGTCATATTTACAATTTTAGGATCCATGCTTTACTGATATCCATTTATTTATTCATCGGGACGAGGTGTGCATTTAATTGATACAGTTATCAATTGATCTATTGCGTATATTGCCAAGTCATTTATTGAACTTAGTGGCAAAGGTACTTCAATGCTTATACACAAGGGGGGGGGGTGTTATAGAAGTATCAAAATTTTAATAGGAAGATAACTGGCAGATTTGACTAAAATCGCTTGATGAATAATTGTAAAACTTTCTCTCTCTTTATGTGTGTCGATGGTGCAGCGGTTAACATGTTTCCCCCTGAAGTCAGAGACCACGGGTTCATTGTTCGTTGCCCACTCAATAAGCTGAAATGCCAACCAAACTGGTTAAGTCCGCTAAGAAAGTGTCACAGAATTACACCTTCTACTCCGGAATTCTCTTTGGTCTTAGACATATATTCAAGTTGAGCTTAGAAACAGGCCTCCCTTAAGGGGTTAGAAAGTTACCTCTTAAAATACACTTTTCATTTTTAGATAGTGGAAAATTGTGCTACAACTACTTTAACTTTTAAGACGCATGCTTTTATGAATTTGCAGGATCTATCCTGTCAGTCACAGTGGCAGACAAGTACGCACCTAACAAGAAGAACCGCTTCGTTGGAATTTGCATCGAAAGAAGCAACGAGGGTCTGTGGAGCAATTTCACTCTTCGAAATGTTATTGATAAAACTGGTAAGGGGTTACTACTCTCACGTTATTAAGTAGTAAAGCAATTTACTAACACTTATTCCATTCCAGCTGTGGAAGTGAACTTTGAGCTCTATAATCCAACACTGCTCTCTATAGTAGTTCTCTTGTTGGAGAAGCGATTAGACCAAAATCTATTCTATTTACGTGATGCGCCCTTGTCTGAATCCCGTGTTCCCTTTGATTTCGCACCAGTACCGCGTGAAAAGGATGCTCCTGTGCCCATTAATGACAAAAAAGTACGTTATTTGAGATTTATTCCTTTTTCTGTATTCCTAATGCAATGTACTTTATACTGACTACAATTACGCAAACCAACTGGGAAGACGGTTGAAACGATTCCCTAATTATTGAGTGACCAAAACTACTTATTAAACAGCTTGAAACATTATCGAGATGAAAGTTTAATTTGCAAATGCGTACATGGAAGGTCGGTATTCAAATGCCTCGGCTCCAAAGTGACGACCTTTGTTTAGGGTGCTGAAACAGTTTACTTCTGCTTTCTAGCAGGTCCCAAACGGTCTCTTTTTTAAGAAATAGCAGGGCATTGTTTTTAACTTAAGCAGTAGTAAATGTGCTAAATGTTTTTAAGCCTCTACAAATAATGGCTTTTCCAGTTTTGAGAAAAAGGTTTCGAATTCAAATATGTTTTCAACCTGATTCCGAACTTTTGATCTCTTTGCTTCACTTAAGGGAAATGGTTGAAACACCAAAAGTTTCTAAATGATATTGTCATACTCGATGTTTTATCAAGGTGCTTATTCTCAAACGATTTCTATGTATTAAGAGTTTGTTTTATAAAGTACTTCCTCAATCAATATAAGGTCGCTTCATTACTTTCAGTTTTAAATTATGAATTTGCTCTTCTCATCTGAATTCTAGGTGAAACTACTTCCTCGACCTTGGCACTTTCAATGGCATCTGCATGGATATCGAGGTATCGATCCCGAATCTCTCTACAGCCAACTTGACGAGAAGGAGTTGCTGCAAATCAAGAAGAAGATTGAATTCGTTGACCGATATGACTTGATGAAGATGTACAGGTAAATGCTATTTTTAAATGAGCATGAAAATTCCACCAAACTAGTTTAAGTCTCTAAGAATGAAGTGTCAATTTAAACAAAGGTCACTTTAGTCTGTTGAGTTAATTTGCTGTCCAGTTGACAATTTGACATAAAGGAGGGGGGGGATATTTTAAGAACACACAGAATGTGTGATACATAAAGTACAGACTTCGTAATGTGTAATAGTTCTTCAGGCTACTTTTTTGGAGAGTGACTGAACCTTAACGCCTCTGGGATTTATTTGTTTATATCAAATGGCAGGGATTGTAATAGTTATCATTAGCCCTTTACTTGACTTCACAGAGGGGAGGAACCTAAAAGTTACAAATGTGATTCACAGATGTAAAAGAGACAGGCACAAAGGTAGAGAAAAAGTTAAGGTGAGTTCTGTGAAAGTGGTGGAATATGACGTACAGTCGGGGTGATGGTGGTTAGAAGTCAGAAGTCAACTGCCGGTTTGTAGACATTTTTGCCGTATGAGTAAACGTTGCCCAGGATGCACCACGTGAAAGCAAATCTATCGTACACCCCCTCTTAGCTAAGTTGCTTCATTTATTACATATGAACCTTTAATCTCAAATGCTCTAATATACACCTTACTAAAGGTATCGTATAATCAACATGAGCCTTAATGTCATTTTGCTTAGTATACTGAATTAATAATCTAAACATGCTTGAATTCCGGTTTTTATCATTATATGCCATCTTATCTTTTTTTCCTAGGTCGAGAAATATTCCGGCAGAAGAGAATGTAGTTATGGGTGAGGTCGGCCTTCAACATACGGAACTTCTTCGTCACTCGGACTTCTTGAAAGGTCGCTGCCTTAATGGGGTTGCTGACTTTGATTCAACTTCTTCCTCGTCCAAGCCTACTCCCTCTTCTTAGAAATATCCCCCCCCCTCTCCTCCCCCTCGATACTCTTCAAATAGTCTGTACATGCTATGATGTTCTAATTATTGAGGTCGTATAAATATACTCACTCGTAACTAGATTAATCAAAATAGGATCAACTCTGTGTTGAAGAAGGTGTCTAAGTTATTATGCTGGAGAAACTGTGGTGTTTCTGCTTTGCTGATTGATCATTCCGTTCAATAAGCGTCTGTAGAAATTGCATTCATGTTACCCAGTCGCTTTTTTAGTAGAACGTAAAACAGGTTTCAGGTATGTGGAATTCATTAGAAGAAACATCTCGCTAGTACATAAACCAATAAGTGTTTCTATAACACTGGTGGTGGGTTTGTTTCTGCCACCTAGCCTCCTACCTTATATGTACTATTTCTTGGAAACCGGATGAGTTTGAGCTGAATGTCAACGTCGGCTACGCTTTCGCCTGCTTATCTTGGAAGATACATTTTAATACGAACTTGGAAAATCCCTTCTCCCTTACATCATATAAGCAGATTCATATGTTTATGTATTTGCTTTGAAGGCACTTGACATGTTAATATCATAGCTTGCAATATGCCTTTTCCATACAACCTCCTATCGACCTCTGTGTTCTTGCTCTTTGGGTTTTGGGAGTTAAGAGAGAGAAAACACAAACTAACTGCCTTTTGTATCTCTTGTAAATGGGATTTGGAAGAATGCGTAATGATGTACATTTATTAAGAGTCTGATCTTTGTTCTTCATTTCGGCTTTGTATAAAACGGTCTTTTGTAGTTGCATAACCCTTACCAGTGGTGCTGATAGTCCTCATCCTCTCTCTCGGTGTTGATTAACCAGTTTGCAGGCGTCTACGTAGTTTCTTCATAGCCGCTTCGCTAATTTCTCTATGCGTGCAGAAAGTGGCAAAAACCAACAATCCTCCACCAAGCATCAGTACTCCTGAAACAACATAACTCATGGGGAAATCTCCCAACTTCATACTCACAAAAGCAGCCAGGGGTGTGCTAAAGCATAATCCTAAACCAAGACACATAATCTCCCAACCCATCGCTTCTGGCAAGCGCTCTCGTTGAACCAGGTCGGCTAACACCAAGGGGTGTATAACTGTCATTCCTCCTAAAAACGAAGAACAAGTATACTGCTACTTAAATCCTTATTTATAGTTAAATAACGTCTGTAACTTACCTTGTAAAAGCCCAATGAAACTGGCATAAAAGTTAAGAAATACGGTATTGCGAAACACGTAAATAGTACCATTCATCATTCCACCAGTTACCAGAATCCCGATTAGAAGATATCTCTTATTCACCCATCGGAAAGTGGCCAAGATACCAAAAAGAAGCCTAGCAATGGCACTGAATGTACCAATCAGCGCGGTAGTCCTAGAGGCCGTATTGTATTCGAATCCCTCGCTAATTAGCATGTCAAAGAAGAGGATGATAGGAGAGTAAGATCCCAATGATTGTAGAAATACAGCGGCCAAGAAGATTATGAAGGACTTGTTCTTGTAAAGAGGAAGCCCTTTGCCAAATAACGAGTAATCCTTGGCTATCTTTTCAACCTCGACAAGGTAGGTGAACGAACCTAGGCTACCGAGAACATGCTGAAGTTTTGGCGTGTTTAAAGAATATCTAATATCTGCCGAACTCTTTGGGACTTTATGACTTGGTCCTGGTTCATTTTGATAGCCAAAGTATCCCGAGCCAAGTATTCCGAGTTTACGATCTTCAATGAAGATATTCGTACTTGTACTTGATATTAAGCGACCAAGCCTTTGAGGTGGCTGGAGAGGTTTTATAGGTAGCGTTAATCCAATAAGGCAGCCGAAAATACAGGCTTGAAGCAACAAACCAGCGGTTGATATACATAACCCTTTCCATGTAACGTCTTTCTCAATAAGAGGGTAGATCAGACTATGCACAGATGCGCCTAACCCTGATCCGCAAGTCATTATGCCTATCGCTATGGGTCTTAGATCATCGAAACTGGTTGTGACTGCGATTATGGCAGTCAAATAAAGTAGACCATAACCAGCACCAGTAATAACTCCAAAGAAGACAAATAACACAACGAGATTTCCACACATTCCAGAGACAAAGTGCCCAATGGCTGATAAGATTCCTCCTGCGATGGCAACAGGTGTAAGACCGAATTTGTTAATGAGAAAACCGGTGACAGGACCTAAAGAGTAGTAGAAAAACATCTGCATGCATCCAACCCAGGAGAGGATAAAGTTGTCCCTGTTGAAGTAAGATGACCAATAGGAGATGAGAATACCAATATTGTAGGCACAACCATCTACACAGAAACATATGAGAAGCGACCCAATTAAGACTAGAATGTGTCGCACTGAACAATCTTTTTCTCGCAATTTCGAATAGCACCAGTCCATTATGTGTTGGGGATACTTGCAAAAATTTGATACGACCATAAACGTGAAAGAAGTCACGTTTTTCAAATTATATCGATTTTGCTTGTCCCTAATAGAATTTAATCGCACTTATCTTTTAGGTCATTTTCATTCATTTTTAAAAAACATCGAATTTGGCATAGCAGAATTCTATTCGCTCAAGAATTTCTCTATACTAAGAACAAAGTTCATTCTCCATTGTGGCTGGTACCTATATCGGCAAGATTTATTTATATCAAATGGCGGGCATTTGGATAGTTATCATTAGCCCTTTAGTTGACTTCAGGCTTCACAGAGGGGAAGGAACATCAAAGTGAAAAAAAGGTTGAGTGGGAAGCGGGATAGCAGTTTTGCTTATTACTTCAAATTTTTGCATTGGTTTTGTAACCTAGCATTCTTTGTACTTTTATACCGGATTCCTAATAGGCCATCCTTTCATAGGAAAAGTCTAGCAAGTACTTCCACAAAGAATAGTCTGTCGCGAGATAAGATTTGAGGGACAACGGTTGTAAGAGCATAAGGCGAGGCTCAGTGGATGGGCATTAGAATTCTTTAGTAATGATATTAGTCTAATGTGAAGCACTTAATGAAATTAAAAGGCAAATAATGTGATAAAGATATAAACTGATCTGAGGAGCTACAGATGGACTGAAGGTAAGAGATGAGGTTAGACCCTCTGTGGTGGAGTCCACTGTGAAAAAAGAGGTGGGGCTTTCAAGGTATATGGTTTTCAAATACCCTTGAAATGGGGGTATTTTTCGGACATTTAGAAACAAATCTGTGATGATTCAGAAGTTGAGAAGGAGACCGACCTTGGAGCTTACTGGACATGCCGATGTATGCGGGGTAGCAATTTCTTGTCATCTTACGAGCACTTCCCGTTTAACTCTCTGGATTTGCTGGCTTAGCCTACTTTCAATTTATGAGTTACACACTAGTTTCTCATTTCAAATACCATAACGAAATAACGATTCTGGCTAGAAATCCAAATAAGATTAAAACTTTTCATAAGTCGATGAAACCAGTGGGCTTTGTTTTATTGAATATGACTATTTCACTTTATCATAGAAAGGAGATTTAGGAGACTATTGTATCATTTCCATTAATTCATATTGGTGCCCGATAATGCAATTAAGGAAGCTTTGGTGCTTCTCTAATAAGCATTGAAATCAGTGTACTTTGAGGGATTAATCGAATTTTAGTACATCTGTATTATTTTATTATCTTTGATTGTCATAGAATAATTATTATGTGGCAGTTAGAGATTGAAGACACTCGTTAATTGAATCCATTCCAGTTTAAATCAAATTTTCCTCTTAAAATCTGTTCCAATTAACTCAAAATGATGATATGGCGTAAAAGTGTTCTCGACATTGGATAGGCCACATTCAAGGTAGCGAGAACATAGAACGTATAGAGCGATGAATGTTTACTCAAACTTCTTGGCCAACTACCACAGAACTTAGTCATTAACATACAATAAGTGCGGTTTACATTGGAACGACAACTGATTACTGATTGGCTGAGATATCTCCATTCTCACGACCTCACCTACCAGATCAAATTCTTTTGATCATCCTTGGTTGCCTTGAGTAATACAACTCTTATCTTCTTAATTGTTATTCGTTTGCTATTTATTGGGGATAAAAGTATTATGTCTTTAGGTTTGAATGATTTGACAATAACCTTGCACCATCTACTTAACCACTAATGTTCTCCCTCCATAATTCTGCTGTAATTCACCTAATCTGTCTGCTCTATTGGGGCCATTTTGACACGATCTTCACTGGTGTCTTCTTCCATTGCTCTCGTTTAATTATTTATCATTTTGTATTTTCCTCTCTAATGCACTCTAATCGACTCACAAACTTCGAAAGACGGATGTCTAATTTTAACCGTTTGGAGATATCCTAGCCTAGCATCATCCAACTCCTTCAAATTAAATGGCCCTCGCCCAATATGATCAAGATCATACACGGTCAAGATGAAGGTCATTAGTATATCCGGCGTATCCCTCGTTCCACCACACAAGCAAATGAGAAGTAATTTTGATTTAATTTGAGTGACTTGAAAGCAATGCTATTCCAATTTCGGTCAAATTGAATTTTTCAATACGCCTTGACTTAAAGAGTGGCAGCCCTCTCCACTTTTCTTCCAATTAATTCTTACTTATCCGTATTACCCTCATACGTATTTGACTCTAGTTGTCTGCTGCCACTACAGTTCTCAATGTAGGTTTTAGATAGAGCGTCTGACTGAACCATTTATTTTTCGAGCACACTAAATTTGCGTCTAACCAATGAATGGCCATGAGCAATGCCTTATCAAGAGCTCGAAGAAATTGAGACGAGCAATTTACAATTTATAAACTGACAGCAGGTATATCAGATAGATAATGAAAGACAGGAGAAAGTCGTCATCGGATAGTTCAAAAGTAATACGATTAATGATCATGAAGAAATCAAATAAAAAGTGTTTGAAGACGTTTTTCGAGAGTTTCAGGCTTGATCAATGCTTCACATGCCACGTCACAAAGTCTAGAATTTGGACGATTTGGATGATAACGTTCGCTTGAAGATGATGGACTTGGAGAAGAAAGATAATAGCCTTTAAATCCTCTATCACCCCGTCGATCACTCTGAATGGGTAGTTTATCACGAAGGTCAGCGTTCACGCTGAGTTGGACTACCTTTCCGCCTAGAGTTAGACCAACAACTTCCACTATGCCTTGCTTCTGAGTGGATCCATCTTTAAGACTTAGTAGATAAGGACCAACTACATTCGAGCCATTAGTTTCCTTCCGATGCGAAAGAGAAGGACTTCGGGTACCAGATATTGGGAAACCAGTGATACTAGTCATTATTGGTTTTGAGTTCCATGGACTAGATATCGCACCACGAGGTGAATTAACTGCCGCTGTATAGATTTGACCACTTATTTCTAATTGAACTTCTTGAATTGCATCCACTTGAGCGATCTGAATGCCAATTTTCTCAGAAATTCGAGGTTCAAATTCGCAGGTACTTGCCTGCAGGGTAGAGGGTTTTGCAACTCCCATAGTATTTGAACTGGCCTTATCTTCAGGTGCCATCCTTACTGTAGAAACCTTTACAATTTTCGGAACCATTAGTACACCAACTTGACACCCAGCTTCCCTCTTTGTAACACATTTTGAAGAGGATATTAACTGAGAAACAGTTTCACTGGATTCGCTCAATCGAAATGTGCACCTAGCATTCTGATCAAACCTTTTGTTCACCATTGTCGTGGTGGATTCGAACGGCTTGCCTAACGGTGGTCTAGTTCCAAGATAAGGCACTGACGGTTTGTTGCAGGTGAATGTCAACAATGAAACGTCCGTTAATTTTGAAGCCATGTTAACGGTCTTCATATTTCTTCCCGTGATACTGATCACACCCCTGTTTTCTCCCACTCTGACAGCCACTTCTCTAATGTCCTTTATGTCAATTATTGACACACCTCCTGTCTCTGTCAGCTTCATTTCAAGATCAACGGAGGATGGGCAGATTAGAGCGTCTGCTTTGAGTCCAAGATTATTTGCTACTCGTTTGTCTGAAGCAGTTGCAGACATGTCTGCGACTTGAACAGTTTTAGGGACCAAACTCAACCCAACTTGGCTGGAAGCGTGTTTTACTTTTGAATCGGATATGGCTTCCAGCCTAGTTTCAGCTGGTGCTGATGCTTCGAATGTGTGAACAGAACTAAACTTGCCGGTGCTTGGTGAAGTATTAGTACCCACTTCCTTGAGTCGAAATTCACAGCCGATTTTTTGGAGACTAAATTTCCCACGAGAAATAGGATTAGCTGATCTTACTTCAAGAATACATGTCTCTGGAACATGGCTAGTTCTCACAATACTGGATACGAATTTCTCTGAATCCTTGCTAAATGTGACATCGTCCGTATTTGCTACCTCCTTAATCTGAATTCCTGATATTTCCATCAATCTACTGGTCAGATCAACTGTCGATGGATAAACTACTGATCCGGAAGCTACAGCTGAGGAAATATTTCTCGGTAACATTTCAATGGAGGCGATATTGACATTTGTCGGGGTCAGGATCATTCCAACTTGGCATGACTTTGATTCACAGCGCGCAGATCTGTTGACCATTGTTGTAGATTCAAAAGGACTTTTCTGTCCAAAGTTAGAGGACTCAAATGGTATGAACGATTTTATTGACGTGGTTGTCATACGACCCGTGCCTTGACAACTTGTACAAATCCTTCCAGCTCCAGTATCTCGCAAAACAATTTCACATCCGGCATCCTTTAGTCTAAAGCTTTCGCTTGGCGAATGATCAGGAACCTGAGAGATACTTCGGCCCAATGTAAACACACCTGAACCAGATTTAAGGCTCATTACGATTCCAGTTTTTCGACTAGACATAGACGAGGCATCGGATGCTCGCGATTCAAGGTCCGCATCAAGTAGTGCATCTCCAGCTTGAATTTTTATGCAAGATTCGTCTTTTATTTCCAACAACTCTATTCCAGACGTTTCGCCAATTTCAGAGATTACCTGAAGGCTAGCCGGGCATAGTATTGAGTCAACTTTCAGACCTAGGTAACTTGCAATCGCTTTATCCCTTGGTCTCACACTAATACTTGCCAATTGAATTGATTTTGGGCGTAAAGTTACCCCAACTTGGCATTCAGTACTCTTTGAAAGCGGTGTACTTGCTCTCTGGTGAATGAAAGAAGGTTTCCTCGACAAATCCATAGAAGGACTTGAACTAGACGAGAAAGCACTCGTAGACCGCTCGACTCTTCCAGTTCCATGACAGTGTGCACAAATAGCTCCTACACTGGTATTCTTTATGGCAAAATCGCAGCCGATATCTTGAAGAACAAATGTTTCATTATTTGATATATCGCTAGATACCTGTCTGTTGGTGCCCTCTTTACCTAGTGTTAATCCAGTCCTCCCAACCATGATATTCATATTGCCTTTTACAGGTAGCCTTGTGGGTATATGAACATTTTCAGCACTCCTTCTTGACACAAAGCTGGTTTCGAATATGGACGACCCGGCTACAACCTCCATGTTCGAGACATTCTTAACATCCACCACTTGAATACCTGCATTTTCACTCAGTTGTGTGCTTAATTCAATTGAAGATGGGAATATTATCGCGTCAGGAGACATACTTATTTGCTTAGCTATTTCACTAGTGCGTGGTTGAATTTGCACATTGGCTATATAGGCACGAGTTGGTTTAAGGATAGCTCCGACCTGTGTTTCCACGCTCTGCATCCTGGGTTTCCGAGCATTTATAAGGGTGATTGATTCACCATCTGCAGGTTCCTGGTTACTATCCATTTCTTTCGTCACTACCTTAATTGGGAATCTATAACCCACTTCATTTCGAGTTAGGGTCTCAGCTCTCTGGGATGTGTCCGTAATTTTTCCGATCGCCAAGCCTGATTGCCCACTTGCAATTGTCACATTATTCATGAAAGGCCTGCTTTCAGGTATATTTCGCTTCTTATCCTCGTTCGATTTCGTATTTAGATTGGCTTCACATGGAGTGCTTCCGGTGACAACTTCCATATTGCTGACCTCTTTTACACCGAAAGACTTCCGATGCGCAATAGGTTGGTAGGAAGTATAGGAATACGATGTTGTTTTCCCAAGTGAAGAGTTCGAATTTGAAACTAATCGATTTCCCGTTCCATTACACACTTCACAAATTTTATTAGTTATTTCATCAACAATTTCGAATTTCGCATGTTGGAGGATTGGCTTCACTCTCAAGCCGGTATCATCAGGTCTCTTTACTTCAATTAATGCTTCACCATAACCCTGTTGAACGAGGGGATTCATTGTGCTTGTTTCAGCAGAGTCATTCCGTATATTGGCGTAAAAGCTTGATACGCCCCTAACAATACTTACATTACTGACTTCAGAAATATCCCTAACACTAATACCACTTGATTCAACTAAAGTTGAAACTAATTCAACAGTAGACGGACAAATAATGTTTGGAACATCTGTTGTGAAAGATCTTATTTTTGGAGAGGCCTTAGAATGCATACTCACATCCATAACTTGAACTTTGACTGGCTTTAAGACGGCTCCAACCTGGGTTGCTTTCGTTATTGGCTTGTGGTTATATGAAGTAGTCTCGGAAGTTGACCACGATGTTTCTAACAGACAGTGGCAAGACGGACAGTTTAATTTATTGGCAATTTCCTGTTGTCTGCGTGACTCATGTATATTTATCGTCACACCTCCCTCAGTTACACCCGGCGAAACGGTCATCGTATGGATTTCATTATGCCCTTCTCCACACTCCATTTCTACCTTGCAAATCTGCTGACCAGTAACCTCGATTTCCCCAGAATGGTGTTTTGGTGTTGTCGACACGGTTGCATTGTAAACTTTTTCATCAATCTTCACATTCATTTGCTGTAGATCCATTGTCTTGGCAATATGAATTCCAGCATCCTCTGTCAGAACTGGCCTAACTTTGACCTTGGTTGGGCAGATTACAGAGTCCACAACTATATTGCGTTGCTCTGTTTGATCGATATCTGTTATATTGAGTGGTACCGTACTAACCTCCATAGTTTCTGGAAGTAGAACTGTTCCAACTTGACATGACTCATGACGTTGATTGGGCTTCATGCCACGAAGAGTGGGATATGTAGATTCGCTGAGGGAAGTGGCAGTTGTCAAATCATCAGTAACTTTAAACTGACATTCTGCTTCAGTAAAAACTCTCGGAACAAAAGTACTGCGATCTGTTGTGCTCTTGACAAAATTCACACTTCCACTCTTCATTTCCTGTGGGTCTGTTTTGAACTCAATTAAACAGGTTTCTTGTGGAGCAGTGCGGGCTAAAGACAATGCGCGTTTTGGCTTGGCGGATTGCACACCAGCTAAATACGATCTCTTGTCTGTTTGAATTTGAACTGAGTCAACATCTTTCACATCTACCAACTGGACGCCCGCTTCCTCAGTCAGAGTTGGTTGACAGGAAATGGAGGCCGGACATAAGATGGAGTTCATAGGAAGTTCAAGTTTCTCAGCCACCGTTTTGTCACTAACTCCTACTGGCAGGGCTGATACACGGATTTCCCTTGGAATAAGCTTCATTCCAACCTGACATCCTGAGGTTCTTAATTCAGGAATTTTGACTTCGATTTTCGGTGTTTCACAACGACCATAACGTGAAACCTTATAATCAACCTCTCTTAATTTCCGCTCGTTCACAACGAAAGTGTGTAGTATTTTCGACCCACAAAATTGCATATCAATATCCGAGAGCCTCCTATCATCCGTGTTTAGCGTGCAGTAAGATGTGTCTCTGGCAAAATTTTCACTGGCATATTGCATTGGATGTCGATTGATTCCACTATACTCTCCACTAACTATAAAGTTACGAGTCTCTGTCTCCTTGTTTGATTCTTCAGTATAAATTTGTTGACCATATTCTGCTTGGTTTATGCTTCCATCTACTACCCCGTGAGCTTTAGGAGGGTAAAAGATTTGAGCCCCTGCATCAAATGATTTTATTGGTTGGGGAACCGTTTCAAATTGTAACGAACCTATGTCACATTCAGTTTGAAGGTTGGTATTATTCCACGCTCTTGTAAATTCTTGTTTTCCTGTTACTAGTTCCCCTGAATTCATTTGGATAGATGTCTTAAGCTTTGGTATCATACCAACTTCAATCGCTTCAGGCTGGGTGTACCTATCAATTTTTTGACTAAATTGATCAATCTGGGTTATAATGCCCGTCCCTCTGTTATTTGTCTCGAAATTAAATGTTCGAGTAGAGATATGCGCTGCGAAGTCTTCTGAATCTAGTGAATCCTTCTCAACTTCAAAGTCCTCAGAGTTTCGACGTAATTGCCTGGAATCTCCAATCTGGAACATTAGATCCTGCTTCAGTACCGCTTTTGGTGGCCCTGTTGTGAAGTTAATTTGAACTTTATCTGGAGTAGCACCATCAGTCGCTGAGGCAATTGATGGAACTCGTTCGTTCACTTCAAGACCTGCCGAAATAATGGAGTCGTCTACCTGTTGTGTCTTTTGCGCCATTACCCAGCCAATCTGTGTCATACAGTCCACTCGATTTCTTTCACTTTGAGTGCTAGCAAATTTGGATTTGACCGTATCTCCACTCATATCTGTCTGTGTATTCTTGATGGTACGTCGACCAGGAGTGTTGGTTGCGACGTCTCTGATCATTTTTGGCTTCTCTATATCAACTACTTTAACTGAAGTGGGTATCTGTCGTTGGGTTATGTTGGCTCCACAGGTGAATACTTTTGATTTTGGCGGTTCATCTATGGTATTCAAGACTGCGACATTCATCCGAGGTCGCCGTGGTCGAGTTTCAAGGAATTCAAATTCTTCTTCCGCCTCGGTTGGAGTTATTCTTCCTAAGGGTGATGGGGGCAGGGGGACAGGTGGACCTTCTAATGAAGACACCCCAGAACTGGAGGAGATACTGGATACTACTAAACGTCCTACTCCGTCAGGTGGCTTGTCTAGAGAAGCCGCGTAAATGGATCTCCAGTTGTGAACTCGATCATAAAGATCCTTCATTTCTGCTCTGTTTCGATCGTGGGTCAATCTAAAAGAGGAAAAATTGATACCAGAAGCTATTTTTCAGTGAAACTAACGGATCAGACATGGATTAAATTCACTATTATCGCACCTCATTTCAAATACGGGTGATCATAACGAAGTAAAGGTTGAAGGAGTACTTGGAAAATCTCAACGTTAAGAAAAGAATACTACACAAAGCTACCTATTTCTCTGGCAGAAATCGAAAAAGCATAGTTCAACAAGCCTGTGGAATTCTGTTATTTTAATCTTCTCAAGACCCAACGAAGTTGATGGGACCTTGGCCCACCAAGAGAGTGCTAAGATCCTGTGTCGAAGATACTGCTATGATCAATTTTAAGGTCATATACAATTCCTTACCACTGAAACTCCTTTACTGTCAAATACCCCTTAGACGTAGGAAATTAAGCAGCGAAATCGATATAATAGCTATTTGATAACAACAAATTTTAAAACCTTACTCAGTATATCGCAGGTTTCCGTTAAAATATAAGGAGAATAAGAGTGTCTACCATGAGAACACTCTTCTATTTTGATGAAACTATCCTCGCAACCTAATTTATTCTAGTACATTCTGATCATTCTAATGTAACATCTAGGGGAACTTCGAACTGGGCATCAGTAATGATAGTTCGTGGTAGCAGCACTTAAGAGTTTTCTTGGAATGAAAATTTACGTCAAATTCAATCCTTTCAGTGTTCGGCTGCAGTCTGCTTCTGACCTGTCCATAGTTAGTATGAATAGAACTGCTGTTAGTCCGACGATGAGCTTAAGCCGAGTAGTCTTCTAGCTTACCGAATTTCGTTTCTGTTTATCAGGCACACGTTACTCTTGATATTTCTGACTGTTAGTCTGGCAACGAGTTGACATTGAAGTGATTTTTATATGAATAAGATAACTGTTTTTGACGGGTCCATTTTGTTGTACTTATTTTTTCTCCTCAATTTAAAATTCTCAGTCATTTTTCTGTCAATCCTCTTTAACCTAATGCCTCTGAAAGAATTTCCATAATTGTGTCAAGCATGGACCTTCCTGCACTTCAGTGGAATGAACATATTTCAGATTCGAACTTAGTTACAAGGCTTATGATCAAATAGCTGTATTTATTGATTCACTAGCTCAACGCCCGTATAATTGACAAGGAATCATTGGCAATAGATTTTGAATTATGACTATTATTTCTGAGAAGGGGGGTGTTCGATAGACTTACCTCCAGTTAGTGCACCCTGGACAACGTATACTCATACGGCAAAAAAAGTCTATTAATCGGCAGTTGACTTGTCACTTCAAGTTACCATCACCCTACTGTCTGTCATAGACGACTACTTCCACAGTACTCACCTCACTTTTTTCTACCTTTGTGTCTGTCTCCTCTACATATTTGAAACACCCCTCTGTTCCCAACCCCCTTTCAACATTTTTCTACTTTGATGTTCCTTCCCCTCTGTGAAGCCTGAAGTCAACTAAGGGGCTAATGATAACTATCAAAGCGCCTGCCACTTGATATAAATAAATAAATTATTTCTGAAACGAATTCTCACCTTATACTCTCAAGTTGTGCCTGAAGTCCTCGAGCTTCCGTTGCAAACGTTAAATCATAATCCTTCAAGCTTGAAGTAATAGGCTCAACACTTTCATCCATATTTCGTAGGGACTTTATGTGTTCATACAACGCAATCAGAGGTTGATGAAGAAGATCTACTTCTCCCCGGCTCCATACCTCATCGGCTTGATCCGCTCTACCAACTATAAGTAGCAAAAGACAACTTCAATTACCCCCCCCCCATATGTTTCTTAATTGTACTTTGCACTATCAGTTAACTTACCAATTTTACTTGTAAGCATATCCAGAACGTTTAAAAGACGACCCTCATCCGCACCGGATTGAATGAGAAGACGGTTAAGATCTTCGATGAACTGTTTCTTTGCTTGAATATCAGTTATATAAAGACCCTGTTGTAGACAAATGTGTTAAGTGAGACGCCTCAGGTATGGTTAATTTGTTAAAAATCTGCTGGAGTTCAACTCACTCTTCCATTTACGATATTCTGGAGGTATTTGGTATAGTAGATGGCCAATTGTCGACGGTAGTTATCGAGGGCTTCGTTCCAGGATTCCTTAACTGTTGCCAGAGTTCTGATAATTAAATTTTAACGTAAGGTAAAGATGGAGGTACTACCACGCGAAGTTCTTCATCAATCTAATTATATTTCCCACTTTCATACTTGTAGTGACATCATTAAAAGACGATCTATTGTAATGTCAACTAATCAATCTTACAAGTGTTTTTAACCATCTCAACTCACATGCTTTCCTATACTTAACTAGGTTAGGGGCATGCTATTAATCTAGGATTCACCGTGAGAGGTCTGGTTGAATAAAGTGGGCATTTATCATTTCAGCTGAGCACGCCGATAAAACGACTATCTTTCCTATGCGTTTTCAGTCGGAGGAGATTTAAGAAGAAAGATTTGACCATTGTGATATTTAGCGCATACTCATGTGCCCCCAATTAATCATCAAACTCGCCGTTTATAATAGATGACGTTTGCTTCGGACTCGAAGCATTATTTCCTGACCGCCTTCAGCCGTCTAGGTGATTTTCGCAAACATATTTTTAAGAAAACTTTACATTTCTTATCTATTAACACCAGCTCAATACTAACAATTTCTCACAATCGGATCTGATTTAAGGTGAACGATCAAATTAGGTGCTCAATTCTAGACTAATTGCTTAATAGTCATCTAATGTGAACCTGACCTAGTAATAGTTAAACTATTAAATCAGGGTCTAATCAATCTTTTCGCGAACGAATCCCGCGGGAAAGCAAGAGTCAGAGGTAATGTGCCACTCTAATTGGTAGTGGAATGACTAAGAAGATGAGATCTGCAATTAACAATTATTATTCTTATATAGAGGCAAAATTTCCAGCCCCAATTAGAAAGATGCTCCCAACATTTAACTTTGGAAGAGAAAAGATATTCTGGAGCCACTCATAAACGAGACTCAAATTTAAAAATATTTCATGCAAACAAAAATTTTCCAGAGCCAATGGTTATCCATTCCACTGGACATGCATCTTAGCAGGCGTACATATCAATCGTCCTACGAAAGCGAAGAATCACTACTCACCTGTATGCGTCATGAACTTGTTCGCCATTCGCAGAGGCGATAATACAAGCAATCGATGGCACGTATTGGGGTCCATTCTTAGTCATAACTTTCCATAAGTAGGGATTCTCAGTTGTATCCAAAAGAGCTAGTGAATCCCCCTTACTTACGTTATAGCTGCTGCCCACGTAATCTATTAGCATTTGTACCATCAGCGGACCATTACCCTCGAAGTCTTTCGCCACTCCGTTTCGAACTTCCGTGAGCCGGTTTTCAACTGGAAGAATTGAGGGAGCTTTCGAAACCAAAGTTCGAGCTCGTTCCGCAAGGTCTTGAAAGGTGTTCAATCTCACCTATTTTAGCATTAAATTAGTAATATAGTAGTAAAATAAAGCTACAAATGTAATTTTTATGAAAGAAAAAAGAGAATCTGATAACAAGAAATAGCCAGTAATAGAAGCAACATAATTTACGCTCTATTCGACTTTTGAATTCTTCGAATCCTTCATCATTTACTCAATAGGCATATTTCACTGCTTCATTTCATTTTCGGGGTTTATTTATTAATTGGTCGATTCTAATTGATAGTCATGCCATCTGTATGAGCTTATCTCTTCTAATAATTAGATTGCTGAAACGAGTTGATAGTTCTACTCACAAAATCACTTTCAAAAAGAATGCGTGAACGAAAAATACTTGTTTACTAAGCGCACGTCAATCTTAATCAGTGTATCTTGGCATCGGAATAATTAAATTGACTTTCTCCGATTGAGCACATTAATGTTGATGCCCACCACTTTAGCTGAATAATAAAATTTTATCGAATACTTAATGATCATATATCTTGAGTGATTTAATTGGGAATATATTGAGAAAGATTTCACATCACTGAAAGCTCCAGTTTTTGGGCTCCATTAATCATTATTTCGTGATAATTTTGCAATAATTTTATAAATTATTAAAATGAGTTTAATGACTTTCTTAAGGGGCTATTAAACACATATTTGAGAGCAATAATATTATAGTAAGTGATCTGAAGTATTAAAGACTTAAATCTTTTGTTATTTTTCAATGATGTTAAGTTTAACACCACTTAGTGATAGATAACCTCCTTTGTTTGACGAAAAATCGAAACTATTTTTTTCTAATTACCATACAAACATACTTTACGCGTATTTGGAATAGCTAAATGATTTCATTTTCTGAAGGGGGAAAAACAACTCAAAGCTTTCATGAAAAAAAATTGTGGTGCGGGAGGGGGGGAGGATATAAGTTTATCAAATTACCCTAAAATTAGTAAATCTCCCTTCTGACATCAGCCGAGTTTACGAAGATCTTCGTTCTAGAAAATTAATTGCGAATTGAGCATTCGCCTCTCTCAAATAATGCTCTTTTGGTTACCATTAGTAGTTTTAAGACACTCTTTGGACCAAATGACATTCTAATGTCCATTCTATAAGAGAGTTCATTGTTTCGTAACAATATTTGATTAATATTGCCCTTTCTTAAAGTTAAATCAACAACTAAGAAACCCTTGTCCTGTTTATGTGAGGAGCTTTCTTGTTTCCTGCGTAGTTAAAGAGGAAGAGTTTAAGTCATTCTAATCAAATTTACCTCGCTGCTACATATGATTAAATGCTTACAGGTGGCCATAATTGGCGGAATTACCAATTTTCGGATTTCACAAGCTCCTGTTTGCAGTTACAATTCTATCGCTGCTACATATACCTGTTAACCAATCAGCCAAACAATTCAAGTGGCACTGCTATACATATACAAGTTAAAATCTACCCATTTGCAAAGATAGGAATTTACACAAATTGTAGCAAAAGGCTGATATCTTAATGTGGAATTCAAGCATTTAATCTAATACATACATTTAATATACACTACCGAATGCATTGTATGATTCTATTCCAGTAGTTATTGGTTTGCAGTGCCTCATTACTTATTAAGAAGAGGGGTATGCCAAATTTAATTAAATTATATATTACGATCTATCGCAATAAAAAGAACTATTGGATGACATTTATTGTCATTAACAGTTAAATGCAATTAGAAATATGTATTAAAGGTAGATTATTAGTATTACTTTTATGATTCACTATAATATTGATGAGTAAAACATACTTTCATTTCATCATCGAGACTTGAGGCTTCAGTAATTCGACCATAGGGAGAAAATGCTTCAACTTGAGTATCTGAAACAGCTTTCATTTGAGTAGCTTGAGCTCGGATCTCATTGATTTCATGATAAAACTACAGAATCAGAGAGAGGAGTAAGGAGTAGATTGATGCGCTTACGTACAATGTGAAAATCCGCTGCTGATTTCAAGTGAATTGCGGTAAGATTGGAGAGTTGGGCCGTGTAACCCCAGCATTGTTTAACACTGTTGGTTAATAGCTAGCAGATTTCAAAAAAGAAATAAGTACCTATCATAGATTGGAGCTGAGGTATTAAATGATTTAAGGAATGTCATTTTATGAGTAGATGAGAGACTATGGTTTCTTTGCGGCGTGAACACCGCTAAATATTCTTTTTTTCATTTTTAATTCCAGCGTTATTCTAACCATGCTATCTGCGGCCTTCTCTCAGTTCTAAAGATGATTCATCATTTATCCTATAAGTTTCTTTTCAATTTTCTCCAGCTCTGTAACCAAGCTTTTTCTATGTACTTCCTACCAGACAAACTTCCTAATCCCTTCAAATTTTTTACTTAAATCTGTATTAACTTAGAAGCTTAAAATGAAGATAACTTCATTTTGTTTCCCCTCCATAATGTTGCCTTTTCACAATAAATATTCAAGGCAAAATAGCTACGAAACTTCTTCAATGGTTGAACAGTTCTTTGTCAATTTGGCATTAATAATTGAATTAATTCGATGTGATTATGTCCCTATGTAAGAAAAAGAGTGGCTGTTCTTCCTTCGTTACTTTACTACCGCAATTGTGGATTTTTAATGCATATGGTTCATTCAATTTCTCTCAAACCGTCTGTCAGTGTACGTGGTTTTGGCTCATTCGAATCAGTTATCCTCCCTGGAAATAAAGTAACCCGATATCAAATTCGTAAAATTTTTACCGTTCTATGGAGAAGTTCAGAATGACTTCGTAGGGATGATGGTTTGGCAAGCTTTCTTTGTATAGCTCTTAGGACCATACGGCCTTCTTTCAAAATTAACTCCATTGGTACTAGACGCGTAACAGAAGGAGCTATTCTCATTTGAAACATGTTCAATACGTCTATGGTCCTCACCTGATACCACCAAAACTCATCGTGTTGGCGACATTAGTCTGCCGCACGACACGTATGGGTGAGGGTGAGTAAATTTTCCAAAAACTAATTCGGGTGTTAAAGGGTTAACTAAGCTAAGTTTACTGTCTCGTCAGCTAGTACAAAAGTGCTTATCAGCATGCAGACTAACCTGCGAGCTCACATGATGCGTTAGGCGAAAGTAGTCTATGCTGTATGATGGTCGTTACTTCTACGCGTTGTACCCCACATTACGTTTTTATGACCCATGTATCCTTGTATGCCGTTTTGGTCTTCAACATGTCATTTTATCTATAAGTGTTCTTGAATGTATTCTATTTCAGACCAAGCTTCCAAAAGAACACAGTCATTGTTTCGATGATTACCTGGAAATTCAAATTCCGTGGTTTTTCTACTAACTTGCTAAATAGAACTCTATTGATCGATGCACGCATCAAATAACAACGATGTGTCTTTAGAAGTGCCTATTACATCCATTTGGAGAATGTTTGCGGATTTCGAAGATAACTTCACCCTTCCTTCTACTCTGAATCAGGTTCTTCCGAATTCACACGCCATTAGCTAAATTAAGCAAATACGACTATTACTTTGTGGCGTCCTGAAAATATCCCACACCGATCTTCATAAATGGATTATCTTCTGAGTCTAATAAGAAAATGGAGATGACTTACTCTTGATTCGAAGACGCGTTGTGAGATATTGTCTTCGGAACTTAACCCAACAGCGGTTACCGTCGCGGCTTTTGTTACATCCTGAAAGAAAGTAATAAAATGAGATAAGGGAACTAAGAGTTCAATAAAATTAAGCGAGGTAAGAAGATATCAATGTCTGGGTTCGAAAACTCAATGCAAAAAAGCACATGGCTCGTTGCCATATTTTGTACATTTTGTCTCATTCCTTAACAGAACTGATGCTAAAAGCAATCAGTTGCCTTGAAGAAAAAACACCTTAGCATCCGAGCTAGAAATTGTGCAAAAAGTCATTTCTTAGCTGCTTCTAGGCTCTTAGATTGTGATTTAAATTTATACATAATAGTGTGCGGCCTAATTATGCCTATAAAATTTTATAAAAAGCCTTTAGGAAGTAATTCGAATCTTACCGTGAAAATGCTTTCGAGACAAGATATGGATTCCAAGTAGCGAAGTGTCTCAGTATTTCCAGTAGCCGCTTTCTAAATTGAGTTTAGATTACCAATTTTGAAAATGTATAAATCTACCAGAAGTCTCTGTGCAGTTTCCAACTGTATTCGTCCCCTCCCAGTTTCCTAAAAGACAATTAAATAAAATTTTACTTCTCCAGCAGTAAAATTAACTCACTTTCTTATTGAATCCATCGATAATCGATTCAATGCGTTCCCGAATTCGAGTATATCGTTCGCGTTCTTCATCCAGGGCTAGATGACTAACACCGACGTTGAATTCCACAATTTTGGACTAAAATGTAAAATACTGCAATAAAAATTAGGCCGCAGTAGGTTTTTTCAACCCGCTGTCCATCCTGAGTATATTTAGTTATTTCACTGCATATTTCGTTTAGATCCTCATCTGTTACTGTTAGAAAGAGTCCTTGGACGTACGTTTGAACATCCCATAATAATATGATAAACGATAGTAGACAATAATAGCATATTATCAAAACAAAATGCATTGATGAGATCCCCACTGATAAGCCTATCTTCTAAATAAAATTTGACGTTTCATTTTCGAGCGCGCATATGAATTGATGAATACCCCACCACCTGTAATTCCTATCAGCTACTTGTGCTATTTTCGAGCATACGAAGAAGGTACTCTATTAACACGAACGCGCGGTCTATGATCTGTCACATAGTCATAAGTTGCCAAAGATTTTTCTCCTTTCGCAACATCAATACTCGGTTTCACCTACCACAGTTGTCGTTCCTAACTAGACGTGTTCACGGAACAATGGCCTAGATTATACCAGTATTTGGATTGCACCTTCCTCTCAGGTCTGATAACAAGATAAAGAGGATAATGTAGCGGTGTGTAGTATTTCATTCTGTTAGACAGGAGGATTAGGAGAGCACACTTTCCAAATTAGAATGCCTTCTGACTATTATCCCTTTGCCAGAGTCGATTGTCAGTTCCGGAAAAGCTTATAAAGCAAAATCGAAAAAGTGCTCCCCCCATTCAACTTGTAAATAATCAACGTCGAATGCAAATTCACACTTAATCCCCAATAAATTATCAAATGTACTTTAATAAGTGATAAAACATGAAGACTGAAATCATAAACTATGGCTTCTCCAATTCATAATTGCTTTTTCATAGAATTATAAATTAAACTTGCCTGAAGATCCTTCAACTCTGTTGAGATAGCATCAAGTTCTGTGATAGAAAAAACAAAGTTATTAGGTGAAAATTTATCACGATCTTGGTCACTGTACTTATAATCTAATTCTTGAGATTGTGGGTACTTAAAATTAATCAAACAGTTGTATATGAAGCATTTTAATTGCATTATACACCAATTCTCTTCGTTTTGACATAATAATTACATAATTCTTTATTAGATCTCCGTCCAGCTCTGTTGGCACAAATCCTAACTGGTAAAGCAATTAAATAATATTTGTGCTTTTTTGTTAACTATTCATTAGTATCTGTTTATTCTTGACGCGGATATAAATTCATCCCTAAAATTATTGTGATGTATTTAGTAAATTATTGAAAGTTCTTGATTTAATTAATTCTTTGTGACAATCCGCCTTAAATTATATTGTAATTCTTGCTACCACTTTGTAAAATTATGATTTGATGCTTCATCTGAAAATGAGTGCTCTGACTACATTTAACATTATTAATTTGTAAAATTTTAGAAACAAATAAAATATTTTTGAATTTTTAATTATGGAAGAGGTTCAAAAGGACAAAAAATTATGTGTTTGAAAATAAAAGGAAAAAACCTATTTTTAACTATAAAAATAAAGAAATGATGAAAGTATTAAAATAGTTTATATGATATGGATTTCATATGGCTTTCTATTTTAGAGGAACAGTTTGCAGCCTTCAATTTTTTCATTAACTAGCTCAATAAAAGTCATAAAAAGGAGTGTCTTTCATACGTTCATGTCATGTCTTCCTCGATAGTCCACATATTTTAAATTCGTGTTTAATTCAAGGCATAGTAAATTTTTTAAATTTCAATATAACCTGTCGGATAAGTTGAGCTTGTTATGATATTAACTAATTAGAAATTAACATAAACAGAATTCCCTAGTCATCAATTGCTAAGTTCTCACGTTAAATCCATAATGCATGGGTTTCAATTCCTCATCCCAGTAATACAGAGGAAGTTGCCAAATGACAAAGCAAAAATATGTCATATTAGCTTCCTTTATTGCATCATCCCCAAATATAGATTATTTTTTAATAAATTCAATTAATCTTTACGTGGTGAATGAAAATCAACGCCTTCTTGAGGCTGCAGAATTCTTTATGACAGGTACATATCATCTGAAGCTTAGTAGCCAGATCGTTGAATTCAAAGATGGTTGTTGACCACTGCAGAAGTATATGATAAGATCGATTCTAGGGATTATTATACAAAACCCAAGTATAGTAAAATGCTTAAAGTTGATTTTAGAGCTCAATTGAGCCTAATAATGACTGCCCTTAAATGATCATTTATAAAATCTGATCAATTATTAAGTAATTTAATTTGAAAATTATTATCCAAATGGTGGATTTTTGTCAAGAACTTGGCATGAAAAAATTATTGTTATTAGTCGGTTTTCGAATATTATTCTAAAATATGGCCTAAGGAATATTCATGCTTACCTTCAATCATGATTCAAGAGAGTAATATTCTAGATGTGCAAGTTGTATATAATCCTTCTTTCTTTAAAATTCGTTTGCTCCAAGCCAGGGACCGTGTGGAAGGTTCCAGATTATGAATGTACCTATGATTTAAATGCTGAGTGAACCGGTGATTTCTTCATTTATTAATCTGACTCAAGGAACCTCAATGATTGGTTTGTTTGAGGTAAGCAAGATGTGCAAGAGGTAGAGATGAGAGTGAACCTAACGACACACAGTCTTCATTTGAGAGTCTACATAATTGCACAACTCCATTATTCATCTTCACTCCCATGTGCATCCCCTTTTAATTATACTGCGTAGAAATTAACTTTGACAGACGAAAATAATACTTTGGTAATGGAGTAGGAAATAGGGCCGATTCAATATGTTGTTAATGTATAATTTCAGCAGACAACCGCAGTTCAAATGGACTTACTAGTATACTAATTTAATCCGCTTATCAACCTAATTAATTCCTTTGCTATATATCGATATTCTCATGCTTTGAGGCACACCAACAATTTTCGACTGTTTTCGAGTCTGCCCCTTTTCCACTTCACCCTCTCCTAAAATACCCGATCACAACAGCCCCGTCAAGTCTAATATTTTTGGTTTTTCTCCCACTTAGAAGCCCTTTTAGTTGCCATTTTCCGAATATAATTTGGCTGGTCTTTAAACCTGTTTTCTTTCAACTGATCTATAAATATAACGTTGATAATAGAGTTACGAAGAACTTACATCTTGAAATGAATAAATGCCTTAAGGCAGATTTCTTTATTAATTTAGAGGCATTTGAGGAGACTATCCCTCTCTCGGTTTAAATTTATTATTTATATATTTTTTGATAAAATTTAATTGATTGAGTGGTTTTATGGATTATACACTTATCTAATGGGCTAAACGTGGTAAAATTTATCCTTTTAAAACCTAAAATTGGCCGCTGTGTTAAGAATATCATATTTCTGAACAAGCCATTTTTTCTTCATATAAGGCGTCGCAACAAATGATCTTATCGAATTACTCAAATGTATTTGAGGAAGCAGAAATAGTCATTGTCAGCATTTTTAGTTTTTACCTTTCCTTTCAGTCATATCTGAGAGCTAGGCAATTTCGAAGCTGACACTCGTCAAGGATGTTAGAGATTAGGCCATCTACAGGCTTGCATTGTTCAGTTTGTCAGCATTTCATTTCGCATTTTTGTGCATTTGGTAAGGCTAAAGTTCTCAATAGTAATGTTAAAATAATTAATTCAACCCGTTAACGTTCTTCTTTTGTTTGTACTACACAGTTTTTGTCTACTAACCATTCTTTAGTTAAGAAAATATGTAATAGCATAGTGATATGCGAATACAGTGGAAGAGCCATAATTTTATGATTTTAGTTATTGCTGTGATCTTGTTTAATCGCTACGAACTAAATCTACCGCCTATTTTTTAATAGTCCGACATTTTCATATGGCCACTATTGTAAAGACTAAGAAAAATACTTAATCTGATGATAATCTTGTCAAGGATTGCTCAGTGAACTGACTTCTAGAACGATCTCATTGGGATCCATTGTTCTACCAAAGATCCAGTCTCTTCCTCGATGTCTAATCTTAATAAAAAACGATTCACTGAGAAAATGATTTTAAGCCAAATTTTTTGATGATATAAATAACTACCGTTTTAGTCTTATGTAATTCAATTTCATCTCAAAAAGATAATTTAATAGAGCATTGTTGTCACACATAAGCAAAGAGCTTTAAATTTTCTTAAAAAGTGCGTCTTATGTAATTTGAGAGAAACCAGAAACTCATCTCTTTCGACGAGAGCGAATCCGTGGCTCGAATTCATTTTATAAATCCATCATTTGTCACAAACTCATAGACCTTTAGGGTCTAACGAATTTTTATCAAGGGATCCAAGAATGCGACTTTGGCGTGCGAGATTTCATGATTTTTAATTACCTTGCTTTATTCGTTATTGGCACCAGTTTAAATTAACTGTTTTTTCTCATTCTCATAAATTCAATTAAAACAAGTAACTGTTTAATCTATTAGGAATACTCACGTCGAATCCCTTTATAACCTAATAAACTTATAAAGTCTAATACACAGTAATTAACTGCAAATAAACGGATTATTATATGCGAGTAGGTAAAAAGATTTACTCAAAATATTTCGATAGCAAAACGAAATAATACCATAAAAGGATAACTTACATTGTTCGCTTTTATAAAAATATCCAGTGAATTTTCATATTGGTTAGCTATCTTAGTTGAAAATTGACTCCAAGGTCGTAGGTTGTAGAAGGTTTGTTCAGGAATTAGAACAGAAGAAGATTGGAGAGCTGTGAAATGAGTTATGGAAGCTGACTGAGTTCTTAATATCGAAAATTTGTCACACAAAGAAGACGGGATAGTTAGAAAAAAAAGTAGAAATCAAGTGAGGTTAATTAGCGTTAGCTAAAGAACAAATTATTGAGTCTATTGTAAATCCCGCCAATTGACAGCAATCTCTTTAGTTTGCAAACAGATCCTCACTGCCTCTTCTTATTCTATGTAGCATATTGAACCCATTTGTTGACCTCAATTTGGTTATGTTTTTAGGTTGGCGTCAACTGATTCCCTTTCATAATTGAACTTAGTGGTCAAGGTCTGTTGCTCCAAATCTTCAACATAGAACTGGTGTTATTACAGCTCTGGAAGAGAAGTCTAATCTTGTCGATTAACAGAGTAGTTTTACCTAGTTGCTTAGCTAAAGTAGAGTACAATCTCTGATGTATGTGGAAGAGTCTTGGAATGGGCGTGGGGCGATTCCAAGATTTTGCATAAGCTCAGATCGATTTCAGCATAAATCAGATTGCAGTAGACTGTCTGTTGTTATGCTAGTCTTCAGAAGGGTTTAGTCAAAATATTAAACCCTCCAATTAAAATATCGTTCAAATTCACTTCAAACCCATTTATATTACCCACTCAATAAACAGTTACAGCCTCTCATTTCTCCAGCACATTGAGATCACTTAGAAAGTTCGTGTCAATAAACCCACTTGTCACAAATGCATTCTCTCACAATCGTATCCCATCAATGAAAATAATGAGTTATCTAGTGGATAATTAACTGTATATCTCTCCAAAAGGCTAAATTAGAAATTAATTCATTCTTCAATTTTCCATTGTTAAAAAGGACTTGGTAGGCTCATTTATATTAGATATCAATAAATACAAAGGGAAGCTCGAGTGAAGTGATAAAGGAGTCATAGAAAGGGAGATAAGTTGGCAATATTTTGTCATATTCAAATTCATGCCAAAATTCATAATCTGATAAAAGCGGACATGGTCAATAGCTTGCACAAAATAGTGATTTCAAATAGGTATAAAAAAATATTTGCCATTGAAGATTGTAAAGGTCACAAAAATTAAATTAACTTTCTTGGAAAATTTAACTCAACTAATCTAAGAATTGCTAGTAGGAGTAATCAAATGAAAGGGTTTCATCTTAATTTACAAATCAAAATGTCTTTTTATGCTGGAAAATTTTTAAATGAACCAAATAAACTTCGCAACTCGTCAATATGCCTAATGTTGGCCAAATAGTACAGTCCCTTGCTAATAGTAGCATATATTAAGGGTTTTTAACTAAAAAATATTGTCATATATTTCAGTGAAAACTATCTTTGGTATTTTTATGTCAGATCAAGGAATATAAATTAGAATACCTCTCATATATCAATTATTGCTGCAAATACACTGTGGAACAGACAGAGCCATCACATTTACAGGAATCTTATTTTTTGTTCTGCGTTCGTTCTCTGTGAATTATGTCAAAATAAGTATTGATGGGAAGGAAAGGAAAATATTATAGCTAATAGTACTATAATTGTATCGATCAGTTGAATAGTCGTATCATTTGTTTCGCAGCACCTTTTTGTAATCGCATCGAATTCGCGAAGAACTATCCATTGCTAGAATTGTCCTTTATTAACGCCATCTCTTATGTGAGGCAGAAAAATTTAAAAGCGAATATAAATCAATTTAAAATGTCTTTTCTCATGCCGTAGACTTATTGCAACCTGACACTATCCGTTTAAGGAAAGTAAATAATGAATTGTTGCCTAAAGAAATCATGTTTTATTAACTACGTACAGTTATTTATGCGCATATAGGTCATGGAAATGCATTTTAACGTAAATTTGACTATATATATATATATATATACTTTTGAGGCAAATAAAAACGATGCCATTATAAAACTGGCTAAAATAATTCCTCAAGTAACGGAATATTGAAGGCCTAATGTCCTATTAAATCATTTACATAAAGTGATTTCGCAAAATACTTCGATGGTTTCAGATTTCTGTTTGATATTGAGAAGTTTTAACTGTGAAATATTACGAGTTAACTCAAAATTTTCGAATTGACACTATCTCAAAGAAGAAGAAAGTTCATTTAGAGGATCAGTTGCGAAGGATTTTGAAATATATAAATAAGCTCTAAGCAACAGCTATATATCTTTAGCTGTTAGAGATACGTTATAATAATAGATTAATTGATAATGATATAATGGCATAATAAAAATATTAAATAAAAAGGTTTAATTTTAAATAAAAAATAAAAGTAAATATTAGTTAAAACATTTTATTTATGGAACTGCGAGTTTCTTTGAGGTATTTTAACTAATGGAAAAATAACCTCACTTGCAGTTCGCATTTTTCAATAGGTGTATTGTGATTATGTTAGCTGAAGGTAAGGCTGGTATTTTTAGTCATTGAAAGTTCATTTTGGCTGTTCTTTTTGTCATATTTTTGCATTGTTATTTTCAAAAATTATTTCGTGTTGGAATTATTATATTGTTTAATATTTTGCCAATTTAGGATACTCACGTGGTATTACAACTGCTGTCAGAATTCGACCTTTTTCTGCCAAGTATGTCTTTGATTATGTATGGTAAATAACTCTTAACTTAGTGAACTCCGAATGAGAAATAGCGTTCAGGCTGTCCAATGTCCACAACCTGGTAAAGTTAAATGTACAAGGCGAGACTGTCGTCCCATTGAATTTTGCGTTAATCACACTTTCTGGTCATTTGGCGATGAATCAATAGAAGAAAAAAATGAAAGTCAAAAAGAAGTCTATGAAACACTTGCTTTGCCTCTATTAGAAAAGGCCCTTGGTGGTTATAATGCTTGTTTATTTGCTTATGGTATTACATCTTCTGGTAAAACCCATAGGTAAAATTCTAGTATTGACTTTATTGTTTCAATAGCATGCATGGTTCACCTGAATACCCGGGTATTGTTCCGCGAATTGTTTTCGATCTGTTTTCTCGGACGAAAGGAGGAGATCAAAGTGGTGTTTATGAACTTAAGTTCAGCTACTTCGAAATCTACAATGAAAGGATATATGATCTTCTTATCGATAACCATTATCAAAAATCAGTAAAGTCTAGTTTTCTTGTCATTATTTCATTTTTATTTTCTCTAGCTAATCATACGCGAAGACCCAATAAAAGGACCCTACGTACAAAACCTTACTATGCCCACCGTAACATCCCCGGAAGAAGTTTATGAATGGCTAAGGCAAGGCGACGCCCGTCGAAAATTTGCTGAAACCGACTTTAACTCACAGAGTTCTCGATCCCATTCGATAGTTACTTTCTATATCTCAAAACACGAATACGCAAGTCTTGATAATTGTCACTTATATCGTACCCATCTAGGTTGACAGTTCGAAGGGGACATTATTGGAGAATGTTTTAAGTAGCAAGCTGAATCTAGTCGACTTAGCGGGATGCGAGAGACAGTCTTGGACAAGTTCTATTGGTGAAAGACTCACAGAGGCTTGTCAGATCAACAAGTCTTTATTTACTCTCGGCTTGGTTATATCACAGTTGAGTGGGGAATATAATCAGATGTTCCATTCAAAATCCTGTGTCCGTCTAAGTCATCCAAGAGCTACTTCCGAACCTCGAACTCCGTCACCTCGAATGACAAATTTATCTTCACTTCGAGGTCGCAGACAAACAACTGCACATGTATCCTATCGCGATTCCCTTCTAACTCGGTAGGCTATTGTTCTTTGTTAATTATTTGATCTTATATTTTTCCAGAATTCTGAAAGATTCGCTTGGTGGGAATTCTGTCACTACTATGCTGGCCACTATATCACCTTCCTCTCTTCGGATCGATGATACAATTTCAACCCTCCAATATGCCATTCGAGCTAAATCAGTTTTTAATAAAGCCATCGTGAATGAAGATCCCAAGGGTCGCCTCATTCGAGGTAAGTTTTAATGTATTGTTGCCCATTTAAGAGTTCAGAAGTTAGTCTTAGGATACTTCTTTATTAAGTCTTAGTGTTCAAATAATTGGACACACTTCTTAAGTCATTCTTCATTATTACATCTTTGTTTAATTAGATTAAGATTTTTTGTCAGAAGTAAGTTAGATTTGATCCAATTTTACGAAAACCTTGAAAATGTCATTTACATAGTTGATATCTTAATAGCCTCTCCCCTTTCACTAATTTAAAGCCTCTAGAAATGAAGTTTCTATGGTTGAAGTACTTTCATGTTTCTGGGATCATCTGCATGTAATTAAGATTAATCAATAAATTTTATAATAAATTAGTAATTGAAGTGGTTGGGTAAAGGATAATGTTCTCTCCTGCAAAGATAGAGGTTAGAGTTTGATGCCCACCTATGCCCATTCATTGAGTGGAATCATCGACTACTTTGGATAATAATGAAAGAAGGAACGCTGCATAATTAGACCTTCTCACAGGGAAGCTTCGTGGCATTACTCTTCTACTTAAGGGGACTACTGGAAATGCTTTACCAAGTTTGATTTGAACCTACACAATTTTCCTTTATTTTAAGTCGATAAATTTTTACAATGAAACGCTATTCCTAATATTTTTCTTTTAAAACAGAACTGCGTGCAGAAATTGCAGATTTAAAGCGCGTTATTCAAGAGGCTTCGATGCCACAAAGTCCCTTTACATCTCATATCAGGAGACTCCAAGCAGCTTTGTATTCCCACGAAAGAACAATCGATGAGCTCAGAAAGTAATCCTTCATTCCTTTCTTTATCAACTCTTTGTTTAGTGAGTTAACTCAAAGAATTTCGGATTGTGAACGTTTCCATTCTAAGAATGACATCATAGTACCAAAACTTGAACTCCATCGATTAAATGAATCTGACTTAGAGTAGGTTCCTTTCTGATTACCCTTCTTTACCTGGTATTTTTTAGTGGAACTCCCCTACGACGCAGAACCCGAAGCATTGACAATGATGCCTCTTCTCAAAACTTTTTCCCCTTGAGTAGAGGAAGAGTAAAAAAGGATTCAGGTATTGAAACCGAAGATTGTCTTGAACCATTTGAAAGCATCAGCTCGTCATTGAGTACAAATGAGGCTGTACAATACCTTGACTTTGAGGATGGTGACAAGCTTCAATCAGGTCGCAATGAGCTACAAATTTATGACAAATCCACCTCAGTAGGTGAAGATAAACAACTATCATCAATGAAGAGAATCATTTATCGATCAGAAGCTATTACCAGAAACAATGCTTCATCCAATACTGATGATGACATAATAGTTTTGGAGAAATCAAAGTTTTCTAGTATGATTGAAGAGATCGCTGCATTGAAGTCGAAACTCTCCATGGCGGAAAAACAAGAAGATATGTTGAAATCTCGTTTGGATGTCAAAAAGCGAGGCGTCGCGTCTTCTACCAATGATCTCGGCTACCGGGTGATTTCAGAGGACGAATATTCATGTCTTGTGCATGAGTATAATGAAATGAGACATCGATTGAAGTATCTCGAATCAAGAAAATTCTTAAATCCTTCAACTCTAACATTTGATAATTCGTCGGAAGAAATTCGATCGGAGCTCGAAGACATTATAGAAACTTCTGGTTTTTCGGAAATTGGATTAAAATCGCCTAATTTAGAAGTTGGCGAATCTAATTCAGCGGATGTCAGTTTTCCTCAGATTAATAATCCCCTGGAGGTGAAATTTCTTGAAAGACGAAAACAACTTCTTGAAAAACGTGATATCCCCGAAATTGAATTCAGGCCCCGTCGTGATGAAGAAGTCCTTTCCGATGAAGAATTTAACGGTGTCCTCTCTCGAATCGAGGAACTTAAAATGAAATTAAGGAGATTAGAAGAAGAGACGGCGACAGTTTTACCACAATCGGATGTTGAAATCATTGAAGATCTCACCCACCAACCTCAGGAGAGAATTCTCGCGACCACTATTGTCAACATTGTTGTCGTCGGTAGTATAGCCTATTGGTTATATAAGTATTGCAGATGATGATGATGTCTGCAAACTCTTGATTTGTAACTTTAAATAATATTTATTTTGAGCATATCCTTACAAACTGTGCTTTTCCTACGTTACCGTTGGGTGTGACTTGCATAGTTCATATATATATATATGTTCGTCTTAGGTGAAATATTTTATTTTCGTATTGTTGCCCATGGGCGCTAATTCGCGTGGGCGGTTATTGGGTTCTAAAAAATAGTTCCCTGAAATGAAATTTTCTGTTTAGCAGCCCTGGGAGGACTTTCGGAAAATCCAGGTATTAGCAGAAGTGTGGAGTGACTTTAAGAGCTAACTATCGTTAGCACATTTTATAATTAGCTTTGGGAGTTTTTTGAGCTGTTTTAGATGCAACCACGGTGACGGCATTCAAAATTAGAAATCGGCTTGTTTTTCTATAGTGGTTAAATTAGTGATCTTGGTTAACCGCTAAAAGGAGTGAATAATTAAATTCTAACGGTGGTGGCAAATATACTTGACCTTAATTAAAAGGCATCTAATATTGTCCCATCAGGTAAGGCATTTGAAGAAAGTCTTCCATAAATTTATGAGGGTATTTCATGAGGGTATGGTATTGTTATGCAATTGACCTTCGTAAGGTGACCAAAGTACACATGCGTAGAATGAATTTAGTTTGCGTTTCCAAGGCGACTTCGATCCCGACAACCAAACACTTACTTGCAATAAAATTGTATCGTTACGGTGTAATTTCGATATCCAAACAACCAATATGAAGGCAATATGTATTCCATTACAAAGTCTTTTGCAAGCTCCAAATCAATTAAAGGTAGTCTTGCAACTCTAGAGTAGTGAACAGTGGTGAGCACTGAGCCATTCCTGAAGTAAGTTGCTGAATAGTGCGGCAGCTTGTTACCTCTCGGATGAGAGTGATTTTTGAAACAACTTCGAGTGATAATATCCTTAACAGATTAATTGTTTTCCAATGATCTTCCCAATCAAAAAAGCGTTTAACGTTGCTAATATTTACAAAACAGTCATGGAACCCCTAGTGTGCATCGTCCATTATCACAAACGGTGACCCCATTACAACCTTTTTGATTTTCGACTTCTTTACTTGTTTAGAAGCGGTTATTTTTAAATCATTGATAATGATATCAGTGGATGAATGCTGATTAATGTGAAACTAAATTTATTTCCTTTATTCATGTATCACGTGAATTACCCAGGGGAAGGAGAGGGAGAGGGGTTATTGACCTCAATTTATTGATATCAGCCAATTTGGATGACCTTATGTTACGAACATTGTCCTATTAGAAAAAAATGCCCTATCATCCCATTATCGAAAGTTCATTTGATAAGCATCTACCAACATTTCCTAATTTACAACTTCGTTATGGTGATAAATTTAGTGACTATGGGTTTATTCCTCCATTTGACTTCTTAGTCAATCGAACTATAGTTTAAAAAGGGAAAATTTATATATAGCAAAGTAAATGAAGTAAGATAAAAATAAATATTCATCTGATGAGGAAAAGAGAAGGAAATTGTAAAGGTTTGAGAATAAAGTTAAAGCATTAGAAGACTCGTTTTCAATCTGAATTGAGCAAATATTTGGGTGGTTTGGAAATTCGTTGTCATATGTACAATCCTAGCATCATTTTTCAAGCAGTGTTCTGGCAGGTCATGACATATCACTCACACGATTGTAAATATGTTAGCAATATATTTGCTCAAACAGTAAATCGATCGTGATTTAGACCATAGAAAAAGACCGAATTTCATCAGTAGTTTATTTGGCTTTGGTGATGTTCGGTTTGACAGCACCATTGGTTGGACATTTATCGTTCACTGCTGAGCGGAGGAAGGAGATGACTAAGCCAGATCTGAAAAGACGTACATACAGACATCTGCAATAGATGTCATTTCAACCACAATTTTAAGTTATCGGAGGAGATGTTCAGTTTGTCAAATCAATAAAGTGCCCATGTATACGTCATCTGCATATTCAAATACCGAAGTACCCAATAAGCTGACATCCAAATCCTTACATGTTGTATGGATACCATCTTATGTTTGGTGAAGTTATATGCCTAAAAGTAGCCACCATATTTGCATTGCTCGATTATGCCTTATGCTTAGCAAATATTCGAGTATCTGCTGAGGAGTTTTGATAGGGTTTTACAATGAAGAAGAGTATCAATGGACTTTCTTGATTCAAGGAATATGAGAACTGTTCCATACCAGAAGTCTATCGATTTTGAAATTGTTCTTTTTCAGTTTTTGGGGAATTCGATTTCTCTTATAATAAATTAATTGATCCTGACTACTTAAGGTTAATACGAATAGTATTAATAGGTTAATATGATTTCATTTCTACGTTTACTTCTGTAGTTCAACACATGAAATATCCTTAACCTTTTCATGCCATGGTTTTAATTTTATCCCGTAAACTGTCCTTCTGACACATTTAAATGGAGGACGCCGCAAAGACTTTTTACTATCATCTAGGTTATTTATAAATCCAATTGTCATCTTTTCATCAATAAGCTATGCTATTCAACTTTAAATTTTTAAATAGGAACTCTTGCCTTCTGAATCTCTCGGGTTTAAAATTTTAATTAATATATGCGATTCTTTGTTGGAGCATCGTCTAAAAGTCTTAGGAAATACAAATTGACAATGGGCATTGTATAGATACGATTTTTAGACGACCTTAGTCAAGAAAGGTGACGTTACATTTTCTCTCTGAGAAGTAAAAGATTTGGGCAGCATTTCTACCAATTCTTGGAGTGTTTTCTTAAAAATATCAAACCAAGCAAATCGTTTCAACCAACACAAGGCTTTATTTTCAGTAAATAGTATTTTGCTGAAGTCAAAACTATTTCCCTTTCGAACATTTCAATAATTGTTTGTTGAGCATGAAACTAACAACTCGTCATTTTGATAAATAGGAAATTAAGAATAAATGGAAAGTCAAAATTCATGTTGTAAATCACATTTGTAGATTGCAAATTGAAAATATATTATGCTTCTTAGCCACAATAGAATTTGTCATTTAGAAGTAACAGTACTAAATTTCATGATTCTCATAGATAATTTCATTTTTATCGAGATAAATGGACAAACTGTAGTAAAGTGATTCATGTATGCAGACCACTATTGCCTTGGAAAATAAAATTGGAATAGGAGGGCAACAGTAACAGGACCATCGGTTAGTGCTTATTAACATTACGTAGATAGAATTTAAAAACACTTGAGGTATGCGTTATAAGGAAAAAAGCCCATACACTACAATTCACAATATGATATTAAAAATTTAGTATAAGATTTTTAATGAAGCGTATTAAAAGGGTTGTAAACACAGTAAAGAATTTTCTTATGTGCAAATATCTAGACGAACCCCTGTGAATTACAAAGTCGCAAAATTAGACCAGTCATCATCTTCCGAGTGATACTAAAATGGATGAGGGTACATTTATAATTTTGTAAAAATGACAAATGATTATTTGATTTTAGATACTTTATTTTGCATAAATACGTGCCTTTTAGAAATTAAATTTTTGTTTGTATGCACCGATAGGAATAAGTTACGGTCAAAGCGTTCAGTTACATTCGAACCGAATGATGTTAGGTGAGGGTGAGTAGAGTATATTATATTCTTAAAATGGTTTAAAATTATTAATAGATTTAACTAATTTTAACTTGATATTAGCACAGTTTTGAAGTTTGCTTCCTTATAGGTAATTGTTTGAGCACTTTTTATTGCAGATTATTCTGGTAGCATTACAAGCGCTGTCCGTGTTCGACCGTTTTCCCAAAAGTAGGTTGTTCGTCAATTTAATAATTATTAAAAATTATAGAGAAATAGAAGCAGATGGTAATAAACTTGCAGTCGATTGTTCTAAACCTGGAGAAGTTAAATGCATGAAAACTGGCTCACAATCTCTCTCTTTTTCTGTTGACCATGTCTTTAACGACACTTATCCTGTGAACTCGAACCAAAGTCAGAAAGACGTTTACGAAACTTTGGCCGTCCCATTGCTACAAAAAGCCCTTCTCGGGTATAATGCCTGCCTTTTTGCCTACGGCGTTACATCATCGGGCAAAACACACAGTATATACGGAACTCCCTCTAGTCCTGGAATCGTTCCTCGAATTATCGAGGATTTATTCGACTATGTTCGTCAAAAGAAGGAGCACAATGCTTCCTTTTCTGTCAAATTTAGTTATTTTGAAATTTATAATGAGAAAATTTATGATTTGCTGCAGGATAAAAACCCTGCTCCTAAGGTAGTCATAAATAGGTATCCTATATAGTTCTTGTAGTTGAGAGTCCGTGAGGACCCCTTAGAGGGACCATATATTCAGGACCTTGTTCAACCAGTTGTCCATTCTCCTGCTGAAGTGCATGATTGGTTACGAAAAGGAGATTCAAGACGCAAAGTTGCAGCGACAGAGATGAATGCCAACAGTTCAAGATCGCACACAATCGTCTCGTTTTATTTTACGAAGCGCGAGTTGGTAAGTAGTGTTTGTGGATATTTTCGTTTCTGGATAAAAGTATTACATGTTTCTACTATTTTAGGCCAGTTTTTCAAAGAAAGCGACAGTGGAGAGTGTGATTAAGAGCAAGTTAAGTTTGGTTGATCTAGCGGGAAGCGAAAGGCAATCCTTATATAACAGCGTTGGAGAACGCCTTGCAGTAAGTATATTTCTCCTTTAAGTTTTTAACCCAGTTAATTTCTTGTAGTGTTGACCATCCCATATTTTTTCGGCAAGTGCTTTTACTTATAAATATTGACGCTGAAATCAAATCAGTCTAGTCTAAGCATGTATTCATTCTAGTATCTACCTGTCCTTTTGGGTTGCGAGAATCACAGATTTAGCTTGACCTAATTACTATTGAAGATAATCTAGTGATAAGATACTTATTTCTTTGTCTATTGGTCACTCTCTGTCTTTCTTCTAGCTGATGCAATTATCCACTGTTTAATTGGGAAGGAGTTAAGTATTTGTTTTTAAACAGATGGTCTGTAGAGTAATAGTTGGATGGTTCATGGTGCTTAAAACTCGAATAATGTCTGGAACCCGATGAAAGTTTTCCCGGGTAGGTCGCCACAATGGTAGTATAGGTGTACGAAGTCCAATAAGGAATATTAGTCGGAAGTCAAAACATATGCTATCAGAGTCGTCCAAAGCTAAATTGATATCTCCGATAGGTTTCCATTATCAATTCTTGAATATATTTCTCTCATTTCTTTCTTACTAGCTGTCTTCCTCCTTTGTTTAGACAACACCAGTACAATCAAAGGTATTACTTTGCTTTAGTGCTTCCGTTTATCTCCTTTAACGAAGTAGACGCTACCCCTTGGGGGTTTTTAATCGCTCTCTTTGAAAATTTACTTAGATGACTATATTTTTTCCCGAATTATAGGAAGCCTGTCAGATAAACAAGTCGCTTTTTACCCTTGGAAGAGTAATTTATCAACTGAGTGCTGAACCGTCTTCCGGTTTTTCCGCAAATTCAGCTACACCTCTATCGTCAAAACGCAAAAACCACGTTTCCTATCGTGATTCTCTCTTAACTTGGTAAGTTCAAAACACTTGTGATAATAAGAAAAGATAAAAACATATAAGGGGAAGGTTGTTACAATGAATAACTTTTTACTTTTATAAATTTTCCTTTTTTGCAGGATACTGAAAGACAGTCTTGGAGGTAACTCAGTGACAACAATGCTTGCAACTGTTTCACCTTCGTCTCTTCGCGCAGAGGACACGATCTCAACGCTCCAGCACGTTATTCGGGCAAAGCGGATTGTTAATCAAGCTAAGGTCAATGAAGATCCTTCTGGAGTTATTATTCGAGGTATATTGAGCATTTTCTATGGCTCCTATTTTCGTTAGTCATGGCCTTTGAACCAGGCTTCGTTAACCCAAGTGAAAATGTATTGTTGACTTGTGACATTCTCGGGACACATTCACTAAGTTGAAAATTCCTATTTTATGAGAAGTATCTCATGGAAAGTTTATATATTTATATGGCAGAACTTAAAAATCATGTCGATTCCTGTTGTGTGTTGATTACTGATTCATTATTATTCACCGTATGATGTCTTTCCACTCTTATAATTTCCCTTGAGGCCAGGGCATTTTGATTTAGTTATTAACTTACGCCTTAAGTTTTGGATGGAAATGAGTTTGAGATCATCCGAGTAATAATTTCTTATTGCTTGATTTGAATGAGATTTGAATGATAAGCTGCTCAAGATGCTTCAGGGCACCAATCACCAAATGGAGTTACGGAATGTCAGTGAGATCTGCCAAAATGAGGCTAATATTCTTTAAGTCGTTTTATGATTTAACGTGATGATTTTAAAAACATTTTCCTCGAAGTCCTTCAACGCAAAAATGCAAGTTAGCTCAAACATTTATTTCAAATGGCAGGCGTTTTGATGGTTATCATTAGCCCTTTAGTTGACTTCAGGCTTCACACAAGGGAAGAACATCAAGGGGAGAAAAAGTCGAGAGGGGGATAGAAGAATGGATTACAGATGTAAAAGTGAGAGATCGACACAAATGTAGAAAAAAGAGAGGTGAGTGCTTTGGTAGTGGTCGAATATGGCATACAGTAGGGTTATGGTGGCTGGAAGTGAGAAGTCAACTGCCAGTTAATAGACTTTTTGCCGTATGAATATACGTTGCCCAGGGTGCACCACTTGGAGGTAAGTCTATCGCACACCCCAAAGTGGATGTCAGCGGTGGGATCCAAACATTGTTTTTTGAGATTGATCACTGCTTTTATCCTATCTCTTTAACCTAATTCTGGTTATTGGAACTCATTTTTAACTGAATAAATTCAGTTGTTATCACAACAGTAAGCTGAAGTGGAGATAGAATTTTACCTTCAACTTCCATTAAACAAGCGAATTATTTCTTGAGATTCGAAACCTTTATACTTTCTCTCAATATTAATTTAAATCCTATAAAATAACTTGGTTTCTTACTATTGTTTGACGCCTATAAAAATTATATCTAGTTTTTGAATAACAATAAACGCTAAACTCATTTAATGAAACTTTTCCAAACGCCGATTTTGGGTAGAGACGTAGCATCTTTGAGTCCCCTGTCCAGGAACTTCTTACTTTTGATGCTCTGTAAGATTGTCTATTTGAGAAAGGACTGTGTGATTTGAGCCTTCTGTATCCTCTCGCGTTTATGGCCTTTAATTAAGCCTATACTAAGTGTCATAACTTTTATTGCTTTGTCTAACGTATTGGGAGCACGGCTTATATGAATCATGTCACATCATGTATTGTCGTTAACACGTCTATTTAGATTAACACGAAGCACACTTAACATCAAAGGGGAGTTGTAAATGGAATTTACCTATATTGAAATAAGTAAGCTCATTTCTTATTTGCAGAACTAAAAGCTCAAGTAGAAAAACTCCAGCAATGCCACAAGGAAGCCTCAACACCGAACAGCCCATTGCATGGACAAATTAAAAGCCTCGAAAATTTACTCAAAACGCGAGAAAGAGAGGTTGCCGAACTTACAAGGTAAATAAGCTCTTCTCCCATATCAAAATTCCCTATGTTAATTTATTTTGGTTGATTATCTTTGTCTCTCTGTAGGGAGTTAACAGAGCGCACACTGGATTGTGAACGTCTGAAAGCTGAAGCTATATTACGGTCCACTTCAACTGAAACTATATCTCAATCACTGTTCCCAGATGACATGGATCCTGATGACTTAGTGTAACACTGACATTTATCACTTAACCGCTTTCTTGTTTAGTGAAACCCCAATCAAACGACCTCGATATTGCGATGAGAGGGATAGTGGAGCTTATTCTGATATCTCCCGACCAATTCCCGATGGATCAGAAAAAAATGACTTTTCGGTTCAGACCGACAGTATTGCCAAAGCTGACGATGTGACTACGATCGATTCCCTCTCCAGAACTGTTCTGAATGAAGTCTCATCTGCGCCTCTCCCAGAGTTCCACGATGTTTCAATGAACACCGATGAGTTATTTAAGACGATTCCATTAGAGGAGTATGAAAAGCTCATTTCTAAGATTGAAGTACTTGAGACTTATTTTAAAGTGGAGAAAGTAAACAAATCAGTTGAGGCTAGAGAAGAAGATTTTGGTCTTTGTGTCCTTCCATCTGAGCAAATTGAAGCCTTGAATGGTATGATAAGGAATCAATCACGTAGTGCCGATATTTCAAATGAGGAAATGAATATGACAACTTCTTCATCATGGAATGAGGATCATGTTATACCCTTGAAGGAGTTTAGTCAATTAATGGAGGATTTGTACAATACCCAGCAGCGAATTCATGAACTCGAAGTGGAGAAGCATATTAGACTCTTCAATCTAACTGATGCCTCGACGAATACGTCAGCTGACATTGAGGTCATAAGTAGCTCTGCACTCAATAAGTTCCAGGAGAAGATTAAACATCTGGAGTCAGTTATAACTACCCTCACAAATGTATCAAGGCACGATGTATCTACTTGTTCAGCTGACTTGGACTATAAAATTCTTTCTAGGCAGGAGTATAAAGTCATGAAGCACGAACTTGAGACTATTCGATCAAGGAAGTATAATAATGCGACGACTTTGACAACTCTGCAAGGTGACGTTTCTCCCATTTCTGAAGTCGAAAGCCTTAACAAAAAGATCGAGGATTTGCAGAAAGAATTGCGAGACCTTACAAACACTCCTCAAAACTGTGATATGCCTGCGGATTCCATAGATTTTGACTATGCCTTCTTTGACATATCAACTAATCAAGCCATTGCCCATGACTTTTCCAGACCCACTGATGCTAAACGGTATGTTGAATCGGCTACCCTAACGGATGCAGAATTGGAATTTATTCCAAGATCTGAGTTGGAAGCACTGAGAAGTGACTTGCATTGCCTGAAATCTCAGCTGGAAACTTACACGAAGATTGAAACACGTGAGGTTGCAACATGCTCTACAGATCTTCACTTTAAAACTGTTGGTTGTATAGATCATAGTCAGATTACCGATGAGATGAATTCCATGAGAGATCGCCTTAGTATTGGCTCTAAGAAATGCATTGATTCTACTACTTCAGCTGATAATGCATTGGAAGTTTCACATAAGTCCGAGCCATTTGACATAAAGGAACAATTCCAAATCCTTGAACCTTCCACAAATGTTAGCAAATGTGAGGTAGGCACTTCTTCATGTGACCTTGGCTATGAGGTTCTTTCCAAATCTATTTACGAATCAATGAGTACTCGATTAGCATTAATTGATGCCAAGAGATTCACTGATTCTGCTACTCAATCTCAGGAAGGATTTATGGTGGTTCCAGTTTCAGAACTCTCTAAGTTGGAGGTGCAAGCTCAGGCTCTCTACGCTCTAATGAATATAAGGAAACGCGATTCCTCAACTTGTACAACTGATCTCGACCTTGAAGTTATTCCAAGAACTGAATTAGAAAAAATTTCCTCGGACTTGGAAGCAGCAAGTTCTCGACTTGCTTGCATTGATGCCAAGAAGTTCATAAACGCTTCAATAATGACTGAAGAGCATGTAGAAGTTCTTCCTCAAGCAGAATTCAAGGCAATGATGGAACGAATGCAGCATACAGATTCTCAATTGAGAACCCTTTATGAGGTCGTTAAAATGGAACCCTTTGAGCAGGATTCGGGTTCCCAACCTACCAGAATTATCGAAAATGTCATTCAAATGCGAAAAAGACTAGCGGATTTTGAAAGTCGAGTTTTTGTGGATGCCTCTACAGAAATTAATGACTACGACCTTGGTGTGACTGTTCTTTCTACAAACTTCTTCAACGAACTTTATCAGAGGCAATACCGACTCAGAGAGAAGCTAAAATGTCTCAAACCGAAGGTGTCAAAAGATGATACAAGTGCACTCACAGAGGAGTCTAGTGATTGTGATTTTGAAACCCTACTTGGTAGAATTGATGATTTGAAAGCCGTCGTGGAAAAATGCCAGGCTACTGTAGACGATGTTGAGAAAAGTTTGGTTGTAGAAGATAAGTCAAAGCAGGAACAGGCTACTGTATCTGAACAGGCTCTAACTGATAACGAAATCACCTCTGATACAACAACAAGTCGCTTTTTAGGATATGTACCAAAGCGAATGGATGACTACGTGTTGAATAGGGTGAAATACTTTGAGAACCTGCAGGCGTGTGGAGATAGCACTATTCTCTCAAGAACTTTGAAACGGTTCCGATTAGAGGAAATTGATGATAATAAGGAGAATGAACATCCAGGAAAGAGGCACAAGTCAACTCAAACGAAACTTGAGAGAATGAAGTCGACAAGACTTGAGGTAAGTGTGCTTGTAAATTTTACTTTATACTCATTCGCTTATAATTCTTTTTGAGCTTGCTTGCCCAAACATTCCATAAAAATAATCACATTGAATTATTTGTCAACATTCCAGTATGTGACGTTTAGGCGTGCTGGAATCATTCTGATAGTTGAACTTTTGAGATCGTTGTAGGTGGTTGGTTGAAAATAACTTCCAGATAAGTGAATTTTGCGAGCCTTCTTATTTAAGTGAGCTGTAACTTCGAGATATACGTGTATAGGATGAATTCATTTTGAAAATCTCTTGTTTGAATTTGATTCACCTGCAGTAAGTACTTATTTTACTGGTTTAGCATGAATTTCTCTTATTTAAATTTAGTGGAATGCTATTGAATTCCTTTGGTTCGTACTTTGTGGATTCCTCCTAGTTCTTATTTGTTCCCTAGTGGCGCGGAAGATATAGAAGTTGCATTGAGGCTCAGAGGCTAAGTCCCTGAATTCCCGGAAAAGTCCCTTATCAAAACATTCACACATCTTAACTCTTTGAAAGCGGTTTACAGAAATTACCTTTATCGTTATGATTCAAGCAATTTTTTTCCCGTTGGCGCCACCCATTCGATGCTGGAAAAGAAATTCTACAACAATCAAGTATTGTTCCAAGCTAACCATAGTCTATTTACTCATTTCAGGATGAGGTGGAACTCTTGCAATACCGTATGAGCTTACAATCGTGGAATTTGCAATATTTAGAAAAGGTAATTCGACACTTCACTTAACCTCCCAATGCCCCATTTTTATAGGAAAATAAGCAGCTTACGTTGGATTGTAAATCACTAGCTGATTTGCTTACAAAGCTTATTCAAGCCCATCGAACAGCTCCATCCTCTTATGTAATCTCGATCCTTGACGATGTTAAGAAGACCCTGAATCAAGTGTCGGATGAAATGCAACGAGATATGAGGACATGCTTATCCCAAGAATAGACTTTTTCCTCTTTGTGATAGTCATCATTCCCCTTCTTGTCTTTTTTGTGTGTATTTACTGGATTCTTACTTTTACCGCTCACTTTATATCCGTATATCTTATCCTTGACTTGAATAAATTACTCTTATTCAAACGGTTAATAGGTTTTATTTAGACAGATATTTATGGTTGATAAATGGCGAAAACACAGGCAATGGCGGAGATATAATTATTACAAAAGTTATAAGTGACGAATTTATCGAAAGCAGGTTCCCATAGACAATTATTGAGGCTCATGAAATTGCAATTATTCCTGGCACAGATGGTCACCTGGGTTATTGTTTTGTAGCGCCTTAAATGCAGTGATTTTATACGACCTTGTATCGTCTAATCAATAGTTATGAAAATTTGTGACCTACATCTGAGAGCGTTATGGAAGCCTCGCGACATTTTTCTGAGTCGTATTTATAGTCTTGCAGAAAATTGTCTATAACCTCCGCCAATATTACCTCAACTTTTCTTTGTGGGAATACGACATTAGGTTCCAATTGGTAAGTATTTTCAACCTTTTTAGGAATAGTTATGCGGCTTGGAGAGTCAAAGTGAGTAACCGCAAGTTGATATCTTTTATAATAAAATATTAGTAGGAACTCACGATTGCCATGGTTTTATCTTTTTTGATTCGCGTATGGAATTTATTCTATCTATGCTAAGGCGCATTGAAATTATACTTGAAATCGATTTTGCTAGTTATCCAGTTGTTTATGTGATAACGCCTAAAATAAGTAAAACAAAATATAAGGATATTATAAAGGCATTATAAAGCTGTCCAAAAATAGTGCTATCCAAATTTAAAAATTATACGATTTTTGAGAAGCTCATTTGTCTTTTTAGCTGTTAAAGGTAAATATGACAATTTTAAATGACACTAGGCAGTTTTGAATTTTTTATTTAAAAATATATCACGAATAGGTAATACAAGAAAACATGAATTTGGATAAATTGATTAAGGTAAAATCCTTATCAAGATGAGCCCTAAAATATATTTGGACATATCTCAAACAATATGGAAAGAGGTATTTTTTGTTCATTCATTTACTCCATTACGATAACAATTTAATCAAAATCTAAATTTTAGTGAAAAATCCTTAATACTAGATTGGATGAATGAAAAATCATCGAATTTCGTTCTTGTTGAATCGATTTCACCAATTCGTTCATAATATGGATGACTCAGTGCAATGAACCATTTTCTATACTTAGGGCTTAATATAAATATCCAAGTGAAGACAACACATCAAAAGTGGACACGCAGAATTAAATGTACATAGAAGCACAGTTATGTCCTTATTATCTCCACTAATAAAATCTATTGAAGAGGAAACAACTGAAATACTTATGCAAATGCAGCTTCGGGTCACTGATCTTATAGTAATTTTGCCATTGCTTTATAAATTTACCATTTTTCAGTGTTCAGACAAACAAATAATCACTTTTACCCTAACCTTTGGACAAAATGACCCAAAGACATTCGACTTTCGCATGTATGTGTAAATGATTATAAATAAAGTATGAATGACTGGTTGCATACATGTTTGATAGTTTGGAAATGGATATATTTGCGCATTCGACGTATAGCATAAAATGACATAGCTAAAAGCGCCGGAATGACTATGATTCATATTATATCATATTTAGTATTAATCTTTCAATAAGCTGCCAATATGCCTACTTTCAACAAATGGCAATAAGGTATTTAACAAATTGTTAAAACCATGTCAAATACAAATTAACCCATCGTTGCATATATAATGCCTAGATTAATTAAGTGAATTGATCGCTCCCTAATAAGTTCTTAATAATATACTATTTCTGACTTAATAACCAAATGACATTGATTGTTTCAATGTGTAAATTTGCGAATATATTCGCGTCTTTTCAAAGTCATTCTATAGTTTTACAGCTGGTCTATTTTCGTCGCTCTGAAATCAGTTTATTGTGGTTATTAACAATGGAAATAAGTGCCCGTTCAGTAAAGCTTTCAATACAAGAGTCAGATATTTTGAAATTGATTTTGGAATTTCTTGAGAAACGGGATTTTGCCTACACACAAGTTGCCCTTGAACGGGAGTCTGGGGTCGTTAATGGATGTTTTGGAGAAGATATATTATTTTTTCGTCAACTCATTCTTCAAGGACATGTAGGTAACTGATTTATTTCATTAATTCTATTTAGTGGGATGATGCACTGGATTATTTGAAGCCTCTTAAAGATCCACATTTACAAATTGACCTCAAACCTGCTCGATTTATCATTCTCAAGCAGAAATTCTTGGAATTACTTTGTCTTCGAGAGGGTTTATTTTACGATAATTCGGGTACCTTGCGAGATCATGGTGATGAATCTGTTATCGACCAGGTAAATTCAATTGATATGTGGTTGGACTTATTTTTTATTTGTTCGTTTGTTTTTATGGTCTTAAATTTCAGGTTTTATCATGTTTAAACGAACTGGAACCGGAATGTCCCACTCAAGCGGAATATAATTCTCTCGCTCTACTTCTTACCCTCCCACAACTTGATCGACACCCGGAATATCGAGATTGGAATCCCAGTCTTGGACGCCTAAGGTGTTTCAAACAGGTATGGTTTTGCCTTCTTTATTGCGTTTCAAAGCTTTAGCATGTAGACTATCTTGCAATTTCTTTTATTATTACATGCAAGTAATAGTTTTTTTTCACTTTAAATTAAATTGTCGAAAAGTCTATACTATATAGGAATTTTTATCATTAAGGAATGGTAAAAAGTTTCAGGTTTCCAGTTTTTGCTTGCTTTTTGGTCATAATGCTAGCAAAAATACACTTTAATTTCTAATCTTTGCTCTCTTCTTGTCATTTTAAAGTTGTATTAGTCGAGTTATAGGATGTTGCATTTCCATGTACACAAAGTTTTACTGTAAACAGTAAGTAAATCCGATGAGTGTTGATCCATATTTCTATTTTATCTTCTATTTTGCTCATTGTCATTCATTTTGATAACAATTGTTCTCTTGATGGCTCACTATTTCTTTATATTTGGTAGCCATTGCCTAATCATCATCCCCTCTAATTGTTAACGATTTCTATGTTTCATTCCACTATAATCTTATGTAAGTTTCTTCTCCATTTTATTGGTTTCTATTTTGATTCTCTAGTTCTTGTTTCACTCTCCTGCTCCCTATTAAGCTAATATTATCCTTTTTGCATTCGATTGGCTCTTCCAATTATAATTAGGAAAGAAATGCGCATGTTTGTTTTCCTAGTTAATTCTTTATAGATCGATTACAGCAATCTATATTCCGACTCGTGCTTTTTCCATTCTCAGTTTTCAAAGCCTTTTAGCCTTTTGTCACCTCGATCCATTCGTCTTCCTACACCCATTACTAAACAGACGAGGTTAATTAAGGTGTTTCCATGTAATAATATTGTATCTGACTTCTTTGAATTAATTTATTTGTTTACAAATTGCTTCCCTGTTATTTATTATTGAGATATTAAGTTGAATGTAATACAATACCAGACATAATTTATGATGTTTTATTACTTTATGCTCATTATCGTTTTCGTTTTAATCATTTCTTTGCTTGTCGTTAGCTATTTTTCTTCAGTTTAGACCTCTTCCGCGTCTAATTATTCGTCTCATCCACCACACATTTTATTCGTATTCTTCTTGCTGCTGGTTACAATTATTACCCATAAACAGCCATTTTATTTTGTGCGAAAATATCTGAAAACAGCGTACGCTCAATTGGCCCAAATAAGGGGTGCGAAGGGATTTGATGAAGTGGGGAATGAAGTCAGGATAATTAATGAGTTTCCACCCCCCCCCCTTGAATTCGGTAGGCAAATTTCAAATCTTTTGGATCGCTTAGTTGAATTCGGCGCTTTTTGATGCCATCATCTAGTTGACACTTGCTAAGATGTTCTTAGCATATCCGGACTTAATAAAGTCCGCTCAAGGTGAACTTATTACTTAAATTTATGGTAATACAAATGGATTATTTCTGAGACTGTCCGCATACCGTCATCTGGGATTGAGACTATATCAATCACCCGTTACTATTTTCCAAAATAAAGTATGCCTAGTTCGTTAGAAGGCAAAAATCCAGGAGACTTCGATCATCCAACTATTCGGTTAAAGTCTAAAATAGTCCCAGAAGCTTCGATAGAGGGCTTCTATTGATCCAGTTATTCTTAGTATTCATTCAAAGGAGTTTTTCTGCTCGACCGTATTTCTTGACATTTCTTTTTCCTACACTCTGTTTGAAGCAATTGCTGACTACTATTAAGATTCATCTTTACTCATATTGCACAAAAGCCTTCCCAAGTCTTGAGATAAAATATCGCAGTCGAATTTAGCCCACTTTAGAGCAAACAATTTTTATCGCCACTCGTGTTTGGTAATTTTTCATAATTAAAAGTTTACGCAAGTATTAATCTTGAAAGCTGAAAGCTTCATTTGATTGTTGCATTTTCATGATATTGCGATGCTATCTATTTAGAAATGACTTTTATTTCTAATTTCGCTATTTAAAAAAACAGGCAATCCGAACATTTAAATCTGTAATATGTGTTGAAAGGTCGTTAGCTCCAACTATTTTTTCTCAGGCTGTATTGTCCAATCCACTCTGTATTTCTGAAGTAAAATGTTTTACGGTACTCGAAATCGGAAATGCTTCAATGCACTTTATTCGGAATTTGGTAGTAAATTTAAGTCAGTTGCACTCAAAATATAAATTTTTCACCTTCAGCTCTACACTATACTAACACCACTGATCCAACAATTGAATCTCACCAATCCTTGTGGTACTCTGGGTCAAGCTAAAGGTGATCGTCTTCTCCAGTTGTTGATCAAAGGCATACTCTATGAGGCATGTGAGGATTTTTGTGCTGCCATGGCTACCGAAAATAATGCTCAGATGCATTTACATGGACTTATTGATGGTAAGGCTTTTCTAATAACTACTTTTGGTGGTCTCCATTGACTCCAAATGCAGATTAATATCTTGCCTGTTTCTCTAATTGATTACTTTCTGAAATTACGCTAATTATGTCTTTTCCTAGCCATAATTAAGCCTTAAAAAGACTACAGTCACAATATATACAATAACCCAATTCTCCAACATTTGTACCTGTTAGCACTTGACATTTCTCATCTCACTTCATAATCATGAATACAGTTTGCTTGTACGTCTCGTTATCTCTAGGTTTGAAGCTGTTGAAAATTGCCTTCTAAATGGAACTCGCATCTGAAGTGTCCAAAAAAACATCCTAAAGTGTACCTGGCTATGAGAGAGAGGACACCCATTCGAGCTCAGATATAAAAATATTTAGACGCTTTCAAATTAGCAGTTCTCGGTAATTAAATCGGGAATTTGGATGAATTGAACACGCGATTTAAACAAATTGGGGTGTGCGATAGACTTACCTCCACGTGGTGCACCCTGGGCAACGTATACTCATACGGCAAAAAA